GGCATAAAAAGTCATAAAAACGTCATAGTATAGTATGCATAAAAGTCATAAAAACGACATAGTATATTAAGACATAAAACGTCATAGTATAGTAAGGCACAAGAAAGTCATAAAAATGGCATAGTATAGTAAGGCATAAAAAAGTCATAAAAACGTCATAGTATAGCAAGGCATAAAAAGTCATAAAAACGTCATAGTATAGTAAGGCATAAAAAGGCATAAAAAGTCATAGTATAGAAGGCTAAAAAGTCATAAAACGTCATAGTATAGCAAGGCATAAAAAAGGCATAAAAGTCATAGTATAGTAGATATAAAAAGTCATAAAACGTCATAGTATAGTAGGCATAAAAGTCATAAAAACGACATAGTATATTAGACATAAAACGTCATGAGCTATTAGTAAGGCACAAAAAGTCATAAAAATGTCATAGTATTAAAGCATAAAAAAGTCATAGTATAGTAAGGCATAGAAAGTCATAAAAACGTCATAGTATAGTAAGGCGTAAAAGTCATGAAAAAGTCATTGTATAGCAAGGCATGAAAAGTCATAAAGAAGTCATAGTGCAGGAAGGCACAAAAATGTATTGTTACCTTATGGTTAAAGTACTGTTACAATTCAGACACAGAAAAAACCAGATAGTTTAGTATAATAGTTCTTTAATGGGTATTGTTGAATGAGCAACGGAGTGAGTCCTGGGGAATGGGGCGAAGGACTGGGTTGTTGCACTACGGGTAGGAGATATATGGCTGGCGTTGAGCAGGTGATAGTACAGTGAGGCATAAAAAGTCATAAAAAACACCATGGTACAGCAAGGCATAAAAAACAAAAAAAGTTTAATCGCATGACATCTACCTGTCATAAAAAGCACGTCTTGCCAGGCGTACATCGAACTATCTGTTAGTAACTAGTATGCATAGATATATGAGAAGTGTCATAAAACATGCATAAAGTCCTCGTATAGCAAGGTAAGTGACATACGTCAATTGCACATAAATGTACTATCTCGGTCAAAAGTGTCTATAAAGACGTTCATAGTATAGTAAGGGCATAAAAGTCATGATATAGCAATAGGCATTAAAAAGTCATAAACGTCATAGTATAGAAGGCATAAAAAGTCATAAAGCATGTAGTATAAACATCATCATAGTGATCAGTAATGCAAGAATATAAGTCTAGTTATAGTAAGGCATAAAAGTCATTAAAAACCTCTATAAATATGCCAAGTAAAAGACTCTCTAACGTCTAGCGTGAGTAAATAGTAAGTCATGAAACAGTCTTAAGCGAAAAAAGTCATAAAAACGTCGTAGTATAGCAAGGCATAAAAAGTCATAAACATCATAGTATAGAGGCATAAAAAAGTCATAAACATCAAATAGAATAGCAAGGCATAAAAAAGACATAAAAAACGTCATAGTTATAGCAAGGCATAAAAAGTCATAAAAACGTCATAGTATAGCAAGGGCATAAAAAGTCATTAAAAACGCAAGTATCAGTAAGGCATAAAAAGTCATAGTATAGTAAGGCATAAAAGTCATAGTATAGCAAGGCATAAAAAGTCATAAAACGTCATAGTATAGCAAGGCATAAAAAGTTCATAAAACGTCATATTATAGCAAGCATAAAAAGTCAAAAAAACGTCATAGTATAGATAGGGCATTAAAAAGTCAGAAAAACGTCATAGTATAGCAAGGGGATAAAAAAGTCATAAAAACATCATTAGTATAGTAAGACAATAAAAGTCAATAAAAACAGTCATAGTAATAGCAAGCATAGAAAGTCATAGTATACAAGGCATAAAAAGTCATTAAAAAACGTCATAGTATAGCAAGGCATAAAATGTCATAAAAACGTCATACTATATTAAGGCATAAAAAGTCATAGTATAGTAAGGCATAAAAAGTCATAAAAACGTCATAGTATAGCAAGGCATAAAAAGTCATAAAAACGTCATAGTATAGCAAGGCATAAAAAGTCATAGTATAGTAAGGCATAAAAAGTCATAAAAACGTCATAGTATAGTATGGCATAAAAAGTCATAAAAACGACATAGTATATTAAGACATAAAACGTCATAGTATAGTAAGGCACAAAAAGTCATAAAAATGTCATAGTATTAAAGCATAAAAAGTCATAGTATAGTAAGGCATAGAAAGTCATAAAAACGTCATAGTATAGTAAGGCGTAAAAAGTCATGAAAAAAGTCATTGTATAGCAAGGCATGAAAAGTCATAAAGAAGTCATAGTGTAGGAAGGCACAAAAATGTTATTGTTACCTTATGGTTAAAGTACTGTTACAAATTTAGACACAGAAACAACCAGTAGTTTAGTAATAATAGTTCTTTAATGGGTATTGTTGAATGAGCAACGGAGTGAGTCCTGGGGAAATGTTGGGGGGCGAAGGATCTGGGTTGTTGCACTAGGAGCGTGGAGGTATATGGCTGGCGCTGAGCAGGTGATAGTATAGTAAGGCATAAAAAGTCATAAAAACGTCATAGTATAGCAAGGCATAAAAAGTCTTAAAAACTACATAGTATAGTAAGGCGTAAAAAGTCATAAAATGTCAGTGTAGTAAGGTATAAAAAGGTTAGTGTTACATTATGGTTAAAATACTGTTTGGACCACAGTACAGATTCAGACACAGAAACAAACAGCAGTTTAGTAATAACAGTTCTTTAATGGGTATTGTTCAATGAGCAACGGAGAGAATATGAATTTTTAATGCTTTACTATACTATGATGTTTTGCAGCAGATGAGTGGCGTGGCTGGAAATGGCGGCGCAGTAGTCAGTTTCAGCAGGAGCGGGCAACAGCACTGCAGCAGGCATGAACTGAGGTATATAGAGACACTAGTGAGGAATCATCCAAGACAACGAGAAGTGGTCGATCTGAATTCACACTTGAGAGTTTAAGTAGCCTGGAGCGTTACCACGTAAAGACCAGAACAATCTGGCGACGAGTGAGTGGAGAGCCGGGGTTGTTATCCTGAGCTTGATGAGTAGTGACAAAACAGGTTAGCCATGTACCCAGTACTGTGCCATGCCCCTGCTGAGAAGCACACACATACACACAAAGACAAGGGGGAGGAGACACAAAGGAAGACAGACAGGGAATACAAACACAGGAAAACACTTGGCAACTCCTGCAGTCACAGACAGGCTGTGACTGTCATAGTATAGTAAGGAGTAAAAAGTCATAAAAAAGTCATATTATAGTAAGGCATAAAAATGTAGGTATGGATGTATTTACATAAATAAAACTATGCACAGTAACAGATCAAAGACTAAAACTAAGAAATGATCCTGTGCTATAACAATTTACACACTATATATGTATGTGTGTGTGTGTATATATATATATATATACACACACACACATATACTCTGTATGTACAGCATACTGCAGTTTCAGCAAATCAATCAATATAAGCTGATATCTGCCAAAAGTCTAAACAAAACCTAATTAATTCTAATGTTTATTAACTATAAATAAATCAGGTTAAAGAAATGAGGCCAGATATGCAGTCATCTCAAAACTTTATTTCAATTAATCAAGCACAGTGAATGTTAGCTATTAAAAAGAACTGCTAAAACAGGTAATGATGCAAAATAATTAAAATCCTTGATACATTTTAAATAAAGGGTTAACAACATACTGTGTCACACTGTCAAGATTGAAGAATCTGCAGGTAAAATAACATTATCTTTGGTCTGGAACGTTTTTGGCAAAATGAGATTCAAAGCAACATAAAGGCTGTTAAATCAATCAGTAGTTGGACCGCAGAAAAGTTCCCAAAAGAAGATGTCACATGAACATCTTAGTGATGTGTAAGAAATGGTTCCTCATCAACTCAGCCCTTTGACCCTGGTTTGAGAGTGCTGAAGGGTTTGGAGTTTCGCAGCGAGCCTGAGATCTCTTGCAGGAAAGCAGCGATGTGCAGGTCCTTCTCTGACTTCCTGCCATCAAAGATAACCACCAGAGTGAAGTGTGGCTCGGGGCGTGTCAAGTAGTAGGTGCTCTGCACTTTATCATCGTAGAAGTGCACCACCTTGTCCAGAGTGTTGAGCTCTGCTGCGCGGTCTCCCATCATCATGATGACGTTTGGCCAGTGTGTGAGCGGGCGCTCTCCAGACGGCAGGGACACCACGGCGGGGAACTGCTCCACGCCCTTCGGTGCCTCCCGGTATGAGTGCGGGTGGTGGTAGCCGTGGCCCTGAAAGCTTTCTGAGCCACGGTTGTCAAATACCAGAGACACGTTGCTTGCATCGTGTTTGCGGATAAAGGAGCAGATTTTGCCGTGGTAGTCTGGCGTGGTGCGGGCAGTCAGGGCTCTCATGTCAGCCGGGGCCGTCTGCCGGCTCAGGGCTTCGTGGAAGTAAAAGCTGAACTTGGCGAGGAGCACCGCCTGGAAGCGCTGCAGCCACATGTAAAGGTGCGGAGGCTGCACGGCCTTCTGGGACTGACCTCCGAACAGATGCTTGCGGGTCTCTTTCTGCCGCTGGAAGAGCTGACCCCAGGCAGTGAGTTTGGAGTTGGCACCGTGCAGGCTGAGCAGAGCGGGCAGGAAATGCCACTCTGACACCTGGGCCTGGCAGCGCAGCAACTGGGTCACCACGTCCACCTCTGTCTGGAAGCCCTCCTCCACACGGCCCAGGATGGGGTGGTGGAACCTGTAGGAGTGAGGAAGAGGAGGTTTGTCATTAAACAGAGAAACAAATGCAAAGACAGAAGCTGGCCTAATTAGTAGTGACCTGAAAGCAGCTGTCTCTTTGCTGCGCTGAGAATACATTTGCATTTCAGTCTGAATCAGAGTGTGAGCTCAGCCTACACACGCACACTCTCTCTACATTTGGTGACAATTTATTTCTCCAGGTCTGCTGATGGGAACATCACCTTCACCCCTCAGTGCACGGTCAAATCAATGATGTGTGGTGTGTCAGAGTGCGACCTGCTGCAGCTCAGTCAACAGCTCAGCTGTGCAGTTTGTGTTCCTGCTACAGTTGCAGGACTCGGTTTCGCTGACTTGTCTCTGGGGGAAAGGTTCCTGCATTTGCTGGATTAGGCAGAAAGTTTTCCTCCTCTAACCCCAATACATCACTCAAATACTTTACTTACTTTTATCTCACTAATTTCTTTGTGTTCTTTATAATCCAAGCCAAACCAGGTATCCACAGAGGAAGTCCTGCATTCAAAATCTAAATGCACTTAAGTATTACCAGCAAAATATAATGAATTCTAACAGTAAAAGTCCTCATAATGTAGAAAAACTGCATCTTTGAGTTTCATTATATGATTGAATCCCCTTTCATTGCAGTAAGGATTTTGTTGAATTTAACTCAACTTGTTAAAAAATCTCCTAGAAAGAAGTTTTGTCCGAAACACGTAAGACTGAGACAGGTTGTTGCACTGGAGTTTAGAAAAATTTAATTTTAGAAATTACGAGAAACTTGAACAGAAAAAAATGAGGGTTAGGACTAAGATTAAGTAAAAAGCAGATTGTGTGCACTGAATAATGATTTGTTTTGACTGTAAAATCTTCATCTGTGCTAAGCTTGGGCGATATACAGTATTATCGCAGGGGGTGAGGGTTTGTAATTAATATTGTTGCAATTTATGTTTCAATTGTTTTTTTTATAATTTAATTACATTTTATTTTACATTTCAGGTTTCAGGTTCTTTTTGTGTTTTTTTTTTTTAATATCTCAATACAGTCCAACCCAAATATTGTGATATACAATATTATCGCAGGGGAGTGGGGTTTATAATATAATCATAACATTGCATTTTAATTTTCCATTTTTAAAAAAATAATTTAATTATACTTTTGCATTTTCTGTTTCAGGTGTTTTTTTTTTTTAAATTTAATATCTCGACACAGTACAGTCCAAATAATGCAATACATAATATCGCTGTATTTTTGTATTAAAAATGTACAGTACAGTACAGAACTTGAGTAAATGTACTCTCCACCACTGTCAGGAATAAGATACATATACATACTTGGAGCTGTACTTCTGCAGCACGGCCTCCAGCGTGGTGACCAGCTCCTCTGAGTTGATGCTTTTCTGGCTGCCCAGTGAGTGCATCTTCTCGTACAGGTCGGCCATCTCCATGCGGGCCTGGGTGAAGTGGCAGAGCTGCTCCGACAGGTGCGACAGCAGGTCCTCCAGGTAGGAGGTGGAGCCCGGTTGGCTGTGACGACCCATCGTCACTACTTTCCTGAGCTCGTTGTAGAGGGAGGTGTAGATGGTGCGGATGGAGTCCTTACGGCTGAAGAAGGACTGGCCACCTGGAGAGAGGCGGGGGGAGGGGGGGTTGGGAGAGGTTGTAGACTGTGCATCACCAAAAGATGATAATGGTTGCTTTTTTTTTTTAAGCATTCATGAGCTACAGCGCCATCTGCTGTTGGAAAACTGTAGCTGTTAATTTCATACACACTCACTGCGCACTTTATTAGGAACACCTGTACATTACAACAGTTGAAGACTTCTGTCAGCCAAGAACAGAAACCTGAGGCCGCAGTGGGCACAAGTGAAGAACGTGGAAAAACGTAGCCTGGTCTCATGAATCTGGATTTCTGCTGAAGCACGCTGCTGCTGATGGTAGGCTCGGCAGGATTAAGCGGTTTCAGACTGACTAACACTTGTAGCCTCCATGTGAAGAACAGTATATTAACGTTACCCATTTTCTGTCCGAGGAATGTCATGTTGTGGTACGCCTTCTCCGCAGCGGCCAGGTGAGCCAGAGCGGCCAGCAGAGCGGCCCAGATGGCCCCGGCGCTCTTGCTGTTGTCCTTCTCCTTCTCCACGTAGTCCTTGGCTCGATCGAAAGAAAACATGCCGAGCTGCGTGAAGAAACTCTCCAGGATGGCCCGCTCCCGGGGAACGGGCCGCAGTTCCTCCGCCTCCGTCATGGGTCTAAGATACTCCCGCACACCGAGCAGCTGCCTGTCCGAGCGTGCTAACGGCTAGCCAACCGTGTTAGCACAGCGTCAGTCCAGCGTCAAGGAAAGAATCCATCACTCTTCCAACCGAAATACACACAATTTATCAACTTAAAACAGGCTTACATCGTTTCTAAACGTAGCCCATCATATCGAAGACACCGACTGCCTTATATATTTACTCAAAACGACAATAATTTTAAAAATGTGCCTGTATCCAGGTAACTGACTAACCGCCTGACGCCATATTGGCTACACCGGATGTAAATACTACGGCGAGTCAAGAGATCCAAAATAAATAAGACAGAATTTGCGGTTGCGGTTGGATGGTCTGTGAGGAAGTATAACCTTTACACTTGGTAAACTTCGTACTCTATGGAAATGATTCCAGTCAGAGAATCCTTTTTTGTAGGAGCGTTTGTTCATTTCCATAAAGTTTAAATGTAACAAATGTGATGCTTATTTCTGCTATACAATAGCTATTAGGGATACGCTATGTATTCAGATAAGGACTTTTCTTTAACACATAAGCCTAAATATTAGCATATTGTCACAATGGGGAGAATAATAAACATTTCAGCTATACACTAAAAAAGTAACACAGAATTTCCCATTCCCACTCCTCTGTTGTACAGCATACAGTCAACAGCAAAACTACATCACTCTAAGTCACTTACATTGGCATGAACAACACAGATAATAAGGTAGTCAGTTAAGCTGTCAGTCAATTAAGCTAGCAATACCATCTGCCAGTATGTTAAATGAAGTATAATAACCTAATGATTGGATGGATGCGATTTTGTTGAGACTTTCATGTTTGAGATGACTTCAGTAATCCTGACTTTTCTTCTAGCACCATCATCAGATCAAAATACCATATTACCCTACAAAGCCATTGAGATTTGACTATGATTATTTAGGCAGCATTCAACAACTTCACATCCCATGTGTCTTTGATATGTACATGCTACCAAAACAGTCTTTTTTCTCTCTCTCTCCCTCTCTCTCTCTCTAGGGGGTGGACCTATGCTTCCTTTAAAAAGTGTTAACTGCTTCAAAATGAGCAGAAACCAAATTTACTTTCAGCCTCCTCCACTCCTCCCCGCTTGGTAAGTGACATCATTTTTCCCTCTATCCTTTCAGTAAATATGCATTCCTGATTTGCTGTAATTTGAGTCAATTTCACTGATATTTATTTAACAAGATAATGTTGTTTGACCAGAACATACTGCTGGTATTTCAATCACCACCGTGGCTGCTGGTTTTTGGTGTTGAACCGCGGTGCCCTAATGTGCCGTCAAGCAAGGCATCCTTATTTTAAGTATAGAAATTCAATCTATTTACATTTAGAGGAAAAGTTTAACAACACCTGCTTTAAATGAAGATGTAAACTCTGAAATATTTTTTTGCAACATTATATCTAATGCTATGAATTTTTAATAGTGGTTTGGATCACATACTGGGCTTAACAGACGTACAGCCACTTTGGTGGTTTGGCCTTTAAATCATTCATCTCAATAAAACATTTTTTTTTCATGCAGCTTAGTTAATCACTCTTTAGGCTTAAAGCTATAGATTAAAACCTGATATGATATATTGCATCTGGCTCTGGGTTCCATTTGTAAACAATGTGTCTTTGTAACTAGGCGGAATATTAAACATTTTTGCACATAACTTTCTCTGTTAAGTTTATTTTATTTTTGTGGAAAAAGAAACAAATGGAGCGTACAATAGATCACTTCCACCAGATTCTGGTTTTCTTGGCGGTTCTGCAAAAACATCTGAATGATTTTAGTGATAGATCAGTGCGTATTGATGTACCAGGAAGACAACAGCACAATGACTTACTGGTTCTTATTTAGAAATATCCGGATGATACCAACAACTGTAGTGGCTCAGGTTTGGTTAAACCTGTTCCCACATTCGCTTATTTTGTTATTGTGTTCCTGACTCTCCTTCTCTTCCATCATACTTCACCTCTTCTTCCTCATCATTCTCCTCTTACTTCTTCTCCTCCTCCTCCTGTTCTCACCGCTCTTACTCTCTCTGTGTTTTTATGTGACAGTTTGCAAAAGGCAATTGGCAAAATAGTGCAGCAGTGTAGAGACCAGTGTTTACAGTTTTTCTAGAAGTGTGCTACAGTGGAGAGTATGCATTCAGTTTGGCAAATGTGGTAAATCTATTAGTTACAGGTGTCACTGGTTTCAGAGACTGTTCTTTAGAATCACTGTTTGCGTTTAAGCATTCAGAAGAAAACTCTATTGTAGTAAAGTGTTTTCTTGCAGCTGGAAATAGAAGAGCTTTTGATAAATGACTGTAAAATTCACCTGAAAATCCATTTAAACCAGTCAGGTCCTATTAAAAAAAAAAAAGCATTTCATTGAGAAAATATGTAAATCAATAAATAAAATGTACAGCCACCATGCTTAAAGCTCTGTAAAGCTCTACTCAAGCAAATCAACATGCTGACATGCTGATGTTTAGTATAGAAAATGTTAGCATGGTAATTTGCTAAAACAGCAAACACAAAGCGCAATTGTGACTTGGGGATGGGAAAGTGTTTTACGAGATGATGATACTAGAGGAAAAGTCAGAGGATCGCCAACATTATTATGATCATGGGGGCGGCTGTGGCCCAGGAGGTAGAGCGGGTCATCCACTAATTAGAAGGTCGGTGGTTTGATCCCTGAATCCTCCAGGCCACATGTCGAAATGTCCTTGGGGAAGGATGGGCAAGATACTGAACCACACATTGCCCCTGATGGCTGTTCCATCAGTGTATGAATGTGCGTATGAATGTGTGAATGAATGGGTGACTGTGGCAAGTATTGTAAAGTGCTTTGAGTGGTCGGTAAGACTAAAAAAGCGCTTTCTAAGTGCAGTCCATTCCATTAACCATAATCACCCATATGAATATCTGTACAAAGTACAAAGATAATGGTAGCTGCTGAGATATTTTAGCGTGGACCAAAGTTACCCATTGACCATTCCATCCCAAATACCATCATTAGCTGTTCTAGCTTCTGAAATGTCAAAGATTGCTGCTTTTTTGTTTTTATGAGTGAATATTACATTGCAAATTAAATATATTTGGATTTTGGGCTATTGGACAGGAAAAACAGGCACTCTGAAGATGTCACCTTGGCTTTGCGATTTGCATTTTCCACTATTTTGTGACATTTCATAGACTAAATGATTGATCCATCAATCAAAAGAATAACCACCATATTAATCTAGTAATGTCTTTATCCAATTTTGTGCCACTTCATCTAGTAGACTAGAGGAAAAGTAAGTATTTGAAACCATGAACAACTATCTGCAAAATATTGGGCCGTCAAGTAGATAATTCACAGGATAAGGATAACTTTCACCTGGGGGTGGCACTAGAGGCCAGAGTTACTACAATACATCCTTCAGGCACCATGAATGCTTGTACCAAATTTCATAGTAATCCATCCAATAGTTGTCGACATATAGCATGTCTGTAGCTTGGATTTAAAAAACCAAATGCAATAAACCTTAAAAAACTAATAAGTTTATCATTTGAGTTTCAATATTGTAATGAGCTCTTTTACAGAGAACAGCTGTTATCATCATTTCTTCAAATTTCTGTAACCTCTTCTGTAACATCTGTATCCTTAGTATTTTGGACAGTAACAGGGCATTAGTTTAGTGAGTGTAAGTAATCAACACCATGGGAATTTTCCTTTTTCCCCATTAATGCACCATATGCTAAAAAGCACACAGTTATGCAGGGCCATTTGTTGAAAAAAACTCAAATGATGCAATGAGATGCTTTCACTAAAGGATTTCGGAGTGAAAGAACACAGCTTGTGTTCAATGTGAAGGAGTACGACTGTGTGTACAGTTTGAGACAGAGCTCTGTTTGTGCTGCTTTCTCTGCTCTCAGGAGAAAGGATGTTTCCCATGTGATCACAGATTACAGGCAGCATCTTGTGCACAGCTTTAGACTACGTGACGATCAGATGAAGTGTAGAAATTATACAAGAGATAATGAAATTTATGGTATACAGATCCCTGAATCCTGGAAGGGTGAGATAATTTATCTGTGATCAGTCTAAATGTATTATGAACGTGTAAGGTTAGCATTAAAACCCTGAGGGTTATGTGTCTTTGCAGCAATTCTTATATAACACTGTGTGTAGCCTCTTTGAAATATATATATATATATATATATTGTCCACATACAACAAATCCTAGAAAGTATCTAGAAAATTTCAAGGTTGCAGTGAATGTGTGAGAGCAGCTAAAGAGAAACAAAAGAACCACAAAAGGCATGCAAAACTACAGAGACACAAAACGACCAAAGCCATGTCTCTTTTAATCCGTGACTCCTGCTCTTGGGTGGAGGCCTTTCATAAATCCGTGCCCAGTCTCATAATCTGTCCATGACTAAATGTATTTAGTTACTATGAACAACTGTAATGAGTATTGAGAAATGAGTGTCACCACTTGTAAACAAACAAACGAACAAACAACAAAAAAAATAAATAAAAATAAATTGAATTTAAAAAATATAAAAAAGGTACTGTCCCTTTAAGAACTCTCAACGGTTTTTGTTTGTGGAAGCCGGTCCCTCAACTAAATGCGTCCGTCCTGCCTTTCCCTCCGGTGTTTGACAGTGAGCTTCAGCTGAGAAGTGATTTCATTTTTATTGACTTATTATTTACCATAAATATATACATTTTAGTTGCTTTTCGGCAACATTAACCTCCTTTAGCCCACTGTCGACGAGCCAAAGATACATTCGGGCTAAACTTAGCCAACTTTGCTGTCGAAGTAGGTTAAAGAGAGCGACGTCAACTCGTGATGGCTCCGGAGATAACCGGTGAGTTGAAATAGCCTACATAAAACATGAACCACCCCACCCGCTTTTAAATATTGGTTCAAATGTGTTCATATACGTGTTCACATATGACATACTGATTTATAATTTGTCTTTTCCCATTTGTTGGTTAAAAAGGCAAACGGTAAAAAAAAATATTACTCAATACCCCGCGGCTGTCTGGTTCAAACAGCGGGCATAATAAATAGCTAAATTGATAAGTTTAATGACCGAGATAACTTATTGTCACCGCTGTTAAAATATTAAATATACTTACAGGTTTTATTAAAGATTTAAAGAGTACACTGTAATGCTTTCTAATATCTCAAAGCGTGACTTGTCGCCACATTTACCGCCGTCGCTTGCCAATAGTAACTTGTGTTATTTCTGAATACCAATGCAGGGCAGTGCCTCTCTTTGCTTTTTTCACCCTCCATCTGCTCTCAAACATCCTCAGTTCTTCATGTCATGGATTTCACAAGATTGCCTTTGAGATTGTCCTCCATGTTGACATGATTGCATCACATAATTTCTGCAGATTTGCCAGCTTTACATTCATGCTGCCCAACTCCTGTTCTACCACATCCCTAAAGTGTTCTACTGGATTCAGGTCTGGTGATTGGGGAGGCCACTGAAGTTCACTGAACTCACTGAACTCACTGTCATGTTGACGAAACCAGTTTGACACATGGAGCATTAACCTTACTGGAAGTAGATGGTAAACTGTGGCCATAAAAGGATGCACATGATTGGCCATGGCATTGAAACCATGATTGATTGTTATTAAGAAAACATTCCCCACATCCTTACATCACCACCACCAGCCTGGACTCTTGATGCAAGGCAGGTTTGGTCCATGGATTCATGCTGTTGACACCCAATTCTGACCCTATAATCTGCTGCCTCAGCAGAAATACTGATCCATCAGACCAGGCAACATTTTTCCAGTCTTCAACTGTCCAATGTTGGTGAACCTGTGTCCACTGCAGCCTCAGGTTTCTGTTCTTGACACGAGTGGAACCTGATGTGGTCTTCTGCTGTTGTAGTCCGTCCACCTCAAGGTTGGACATGTTGTTCAGTCTGAAGCGTCTCTGCTCACCACAGTAAAGTGTGGTTATCTGAGAGACCGTAGCCTCTCTGTCAGCTTCATTCTCCTCTGATGTCTCTCATCAACAAGGTGTTTCCTCCATCTATTGAGCTGAATTTGTTTTTTGTTGCATTTCTTTCCTCATTCTGATATTTGACATGAACATTAACTTAAGCTTCTGACGTGTACCTGCAGGACTTTATGCACTGCTGCCACATGATTGGCTGACTGAGTAATTGCTCGAATATGCAGGTGCACAGGTGTTCCTAATAAAGGGCTTATTGAGTGTTGTTAGTTAGATTTACAGTGTTAGATAAAGTGGGGATGGAGATTTCAGGTTGAGCGGAAGAAAACTTTCAAGCACAAAAACTACTCATAGGTAGAAGCTGGGCGATATGTCCTAAAATAAAATCTCAATCAAGATTTACGATTTTAATCGATTTTTTACTGTTCAAAATGCAATTAATCATTTAGACACTTACTGATGGCGTTGTGCAGTTTGTGTCCAAAGCACTGGAGGTTGGTCTACTCATTCAGTGTCAGAGCTTTGATGTGCTCGTGCTGCTGTAGTCATGCAGACGTGACGGTCTTCCCCGAGTTTCCACGAGCCCATTGCGTTCCGCTGATGTTACCTGCTTTTTAGCAGGTGAGTTAGGGCTGCCGCTGTCTTGTGCAACGCGCGTGCCATACACTTCTCCCACTCAGCTGCGTGCCTCAGTTTGAAATTCCGAAATAAATTAGTCGAGCTGCTGCTTTTAGTTGCCACAGACTTTCGGAAAACTTTACAACGGACAATGGTTTGCTCGAGATCGGACGCATAAAAAAACCGAGCCACTTCCATCTCCTCATTGTTGTTAGCGCGTGTCGCCATGTTGACATTTCACCTGTGTCTGACGAGAACTCTCGCGTTACTATAAACTGCGGAAGCTCAGGGAAGCGGTGGCAGTCCCGTGCCATAATTAACCCAAGTTAAAGTGAAATTCAATTTACATTTTAAAACATCGTCCTAAACCATGAATTCGAATAAATCGATAAAATCGAGTTATCGCCCAGCTTTAACTCATAGTAGCAAATTAGTGAATTACAATAATTAAAACAGTAACGATTTATAGTTTTAATAATAAGTAAATGACATACCTGTGTACAAATATGTGAAACTGCAGTGATAGTTCATATTTTATATTAATTAAGAAGAAGAGAGAGGAGAAAAGAGGTGAAATGAAAATAAAATAATAACTAAAGATGATTAAAGGCAAGAGGGAAAAATAATATATTGGATGGATGAAAGAGAATAACAGGAGCTGTAAGAACAAGGGAATAACAAGTCAGAATACAGAAAAAAAATGTAATCAATTTGATAGAAAGTAATTTTCAAATTTCCACAGTTCAAACTAAAATAATTGTTAAAACTATAATTTCAAGCAGAGTCCCTTTACAAGACCATTTCAATCAATTTTTAAACAAACCTGCGATTAATCAAACTATGTAGACCCAAATGATTTGGAGTAAATGTGGGAGTATTGTGTGCCCTGGGCTGTTGTCTGCTTTGCCCAGTTGGTAACACAGCTGTGGACACTGCTCACCTACTGATACTCTGCAGTTTTTATCAGCTGCTCTACTTTTCAGAACTGGACACTCAGACTTTTGGCACATAGAAAACTATTAAATGAAAGCAGCAGTTCTGTACAAGGAGCCCTGGAGGAAACATATGGACACATGAAGTCAGTTTTACTTAAAGTGATTTCGGGTTATTTGACGTAGGGTTGTGTGAGGTGCTTGTCTAGTGATGTGCTGCTATGGACGGTGTGTAGTCAACCTTTGGACTAGTGTATCACTACACACAAGCTCAACTATGCTTAGCTCTGTCATACTTACTCAAACAGCTGACCTGCACCTGAGTGGTGCTTGTCTCCACCTGATGAACCTGTCCAGTGTTTCATCTCTTTTAGCTCGGTGTTTGGTGTCCACCAGCTCCCGGGGGAAATATCTGTCTCTTTAGCTGCTAAATGCTCCATTGCTATGTTCACCAGCTGACTGTGTCTATCTGTTGTTTGATGCTGTGGACGTGATGTACTAGGGCTGGATATCATCACTGATTTCCCAAATCGATTCAATGCTGATTCACAAGGTTCTGATTCGATGCGATGTCAGATTTTCGATTCGATGTGGATTCAGTTCCAGATGTTTCAGTTACATTACAGATGAGGTTCTCAGGGAACGGATTCTGTAAATTGTTTGTCTAACTTGGGGCATTATCAAAAAATATTAATATTTACTTTAAGAGTGGACCCCAAAGCAGTGACATTAATGAACTCATTATTTAGCATGACCAAGTAAGTAAGTAAGTAATGTGCATTGCTAACGCACCAGCTACAGTGTGTACCACATGGTTTCGTCTCCTATCACCTTCCTCTTGCACATGGCTTTGCTCTTGTCCAGCTTTTCGCTGTACTCATAGTTTTTAAACCTGAAATGCAACCACACATCAGCCTTTAGACTTGCCAGTGCCTTCAGTGGAGCCACGTCTCTCTTTTTTGTGTCTCACGTGGAAGGCTGGTCACGCAAAACTAACAGGGTTACAGGGGAATATTAACATGGAATAAAGGAGGAATTATGAAAACTTGGGTCAACAGGGAGCTGCGATATGCATGTCTATTATTTCTATCATGACGACTTTCACTGACTACCTGTAGAGATTAGGGAAATGTAGACTCCATTTGACTAGTGTGGACCAGGACAAGGAGCATTAGCCTCCCACAGCTTTCCAGCTTCAAAGGGGAAATAATGTCCAGAAACATGAGAATCACAGCCAGAGTTTCTCTTCATCCTAACAGTAATGTAACTGCTCTGCCTGCAGCTCGATTCGTCTGTCACCATGAGCTCTGAGAAGGACATGCTGCTGAAGGAGTATGTCAAGATGATGACTGATATGATTGTGCTGTGTGCCACTTTGGCACTCTCCCTCTTCTTCTGGGTCCTCTCCCTGTCCATCAGCAACTACTATGGTGAGTGAAAACCCCCTGAGGATTTTTGTGAATGACGTCTTTCTTCAGACACATGGCCGGTGGCATAAAGCCTATTAAGATAATTCTTAAAAAATGTCTTAAAAAGAAACTGCCAGATATCATGTGCTCTTCTCTAAATACTGCCCTAAATTCTCCAGTCTCACGCTCAGTTGATTTACTTTCTGCTCAGAAGTTTAACACAGAGGGGTTAAAAGCTGAACAAACATCCTTGACATCACTTTTCATGCTTGAAGTTACAGTATGTGTGGTCATACTGTTGCCTGTGTCAGTGACCTGTATAAATCCTTCGTTTGGACAATCCTTCGTTATGAGTAGACTCAAACCAATGACACTGAAATTATTCATATACCACCACATCATAATGTACATTACCTCGAGGCACTGTTTGGGTAACAGATTGTCATATAGTTTCATACATGGGTCACATAACAGAGCAGTTTTGTCATCAAGCAAATCAATTTAACTGCTGCAGACTTCCTGGTATTTTATCTAAAGCAAGGTTTTTTTTAGAAACTCATGACATATACAGATGGTGAAAAATTAAAGGGAAAGGAACGGCTGTATTTGTAATTATACAATAACAAAAACAACTGAAACATAATTATATTTAACCCCTCAACCCTCCACAACTCCAGCAGTAATATTACACTGTATATCGTCATATTTTGGCTGGCCTGCATCAAAATATTAAATTTTGGTTATTGCCAGATGCCACTTGATGTCACTTTAGTCACTCGCCAGTGGAGCATCTTTGTGACTGAAGCTGCTGCCATTCATCGTCCAACAATGATCCCTCCTTCAAAGTCACTAAGATCTTTTCCTCTTTTCATCTTGATACAAAATCAGAATGAACTGGGCCTAATCATAATGTTTATACCTGCCACCTGCAGTGCACCTGTCTGGAAGTATCTGCATCTGTTCTGCTTCTCCACTCATTTTTCCCTTAATTTGTCACACATCTGCATGTCCCTGAGTGAGAGAAATTTTAGGGAACAAAATTTTAGGAGGAAAAACTGAAGAGGTTTTGTGCCACTGTCATCTCATTTCCTCATTCACAAAATGTGGAAAACCACCAGAGCATGTGTGGGTTTGTGTGTGTGTTTCCAGGCACCCTGCAGCCTGTGTCACCATGGCGGTGGCTGCTCTCCATCCTGGTTCCCCTCGTGCTGATGATTCGGGCGCTGAAGAGACGCAGTTTGGATCGCACAGGAGCCCTGGGAGGTGAGTGTGCATCCGCAGTACTGTAAGCATAGATGAAACAAAGGTTATGTGAAAGCAGTCGATTGTAGTGATGAACCCACAGGATCGTCAGCTCCTCTCGGCTTTACCGAGGATCTCAGCGTCTTTCGTTTTCACTCTGATAGTGTTGTGAGAGAAAATGAGTAAACGCAGAACTTAAAACATCCTGAGAGAAAAGTTTTGTGTCAAACATGCTCAGTACTCCAGGCAGGTCTTGAAAAGGTCTTAAACAGCATTACAAAGGTCTTAAAAAGTCTTACATTTATTTCAGTGAATACCGCAGAAACCTTGAGTTCATAGGAACAATAGTTATCATCATAGCAGCAGAAGATGAGCAGTGTGGACTAAATATACGTCACAATAAAATAAATAAACAGCTGCAGTGACTAATTCTATCACACCTTATTTTTCATGAGCTACTTGATCCAAATACTAAAGTTTAACTGGGAGAAAGTGATGTGATCCTCTGGAGAGAAGATGTCTCACTCTGTAGGAGCTGTTGGAACTACAGAAACACTCGTGGTTGTCAGTTTTTGTTACAGAGTGGAGCATCTTCTCTCACAAATGATCTTCAGCTGAGTATAAACATAGACTTTATTATTATTAATTAACAGCTGATATGACCTGTATTATTTTTCTCAGTGCAGATTAACACTGAGAAGCAGAATGATTTGTTCACTGCTCAGACAACTAATTTAATTAGGGCTGTCACAATGTCAGATTTTCACCACACAGTTATCATGGATTAAAAGAAATTCACAATAACAATATTATCACAGTATTTATGGAAAATTTGAAAAGAAAAATAATGCCACCAGTCTAATTGATCTTTAATTTTGTTCTACAAGTAATACGAGTGTAGGGGGGTAAAGAGAGAGTCTGTAAACATAACTGTACAAAAGCAGAAAGAACAGCGACACTTAATGTGCAGTGCAAAGGCAAAAACATTAACTGATAAGCAGAAGAACCATGTGGCCAAACATCCGCCATCACAATATTATCACGTGTACTATTAATACAATATCAATATTTCATAAAATATCACAGTTAAACGTATTTGGACTTGCAGTGACTCTGTGTCACATTTTCAAACTTTCCTATAATGATTTTACTTCTATTTTATTCTGATTTGTGTGAAAAAAAAATGAATCAACACAACCCAAAATCCCTAAGTTGAAACTCGACTTTGAACTGCGACAGATTTTGGAACAAAAAGGGGTTTTTTTATTTTATTTTTAAATCTACAGGTTTCAGACAGGAAATGAACAGGAAGGGAGCTGAGTTATTTATTTACGACAGGTTTAATCTCTGGTTTTCGTGGTGATTGTTACTGGATAACAAAATTTATATTTGACTGGATTTAGTGTAATAAAGTAGCTGTGTCCCGTGATGGTCTGATCTAAAATGAATCCTGGGCGTCACTGTGAAATCCTAATTTGTTCTTTTTAAAATCTGTGTGTGTTCCCTTAATCTGTCCAGAGATTCTGAGAAAATCACAACCCTTCACAGCTCCAACAAAAATACTGTCTCTTGTATGCAACACTGAGTCATACTAGGAGGAGCGCTTCATTAGCTCATTTTAGTGGTGTAGTCTCCGCAAGCCTCGCTACAGGACACATCCGAGTCTCCAGGACGATTTCTGTTTCCTCGCTCGTCCCAGTCCGAGTCAGTGCCGACTCTCAGCTGGTTAAACCTCCTCCTGATGCACATTTATGACTTTTCTGTGTGTGATATGTCAATTAAATCCCAGTTTTATGTTCAATAAATTGTGGCATTGCCACTTAAAATGAGTGATGACAGATGACAGGAAGATCCTGTCACCAAATGTGCCACTAGTTTCACAGTGAATTTGGCACATTTTGGCTTTTTGAATTAGAAGGAAACACTAACTGTATAAAAACAATCTGCCGTAAGTGAAATAAAAAGAAAAAAGAAAACTGCAATAACAAAAACTGTTTCGGTTGAAGCTTTGTGACTTTTTCTCTCTAAAGCTCTTGTTGTGGAAATGACATGAATATCATCTGTTATAAACAGTAATGATTGTAAAAAGAATTATTGTATAATATAGTGGACGAAAGACGTCATCTTTATACGTCTTATGTAAAAAAAAAAACTATTCTGAAAGAATATTTTCAGTCTTATGAAACTGTCTTTCACTATGTCCACTTGACTTTTAGTTGATGACGTTGGAAATGCGACACTGGACAGACATCAAAAGAATAATTTATGTAGATGCTGAAAGATGCTGTTGTGTTAAGCAGAAACTTATAAAAAATACGAGGAAATGGAAGCTGTGTACGCCTTTGAAGAAGCAATTAATTTATTTTTAAAGTAAAAAAAAAAAATTCCGTAAAGTAAAACACAAACACATCTTTCAGCCACATTGGCTGACGTTTTCCTTCATCACCATGGACGCACACACTGTACTTTAATTTGAGTCAGAAAAAAAACCCCCAAATACTCACTAGAAAACCACAAGGATTAATCTGTCGCAAATACTTTGTATAATTCCTCCTGTTTGTTTAATGAAAAACTGAAACTTAAAAAAAAACAAACAGTGTATTCAGTTTATTATCACATGTGACAAACATAAGCATCGAATTCTCATATTTGAGAAAGTGGAACTAGCAAATATTTAATATTTTTGCTTGAAGAGTCACTGAAACAGTAGTTCTGGACTCTTTTGTTTTTACCTTCTTTTTTAACTTATCAATTGAAGCTTTAGTCCCAAGTTTAACACGTTAGTTTGAGTCGACACATGGGATTTGATTTATCTAAAAAAAAAAAGAAAAAAGGATATAGAACAACAGCAGATTTTTTTTAAATCTGTGTGGAGTCCGTTTCTCTGATATGAAATGTGTCTCCTCAGCTCTCCTGGTGGGATTTGTGTTGATGATGGCCAACTACAGCTTCTTCTCGTCTCTGCTGGCCTTCTTCATCAGCTCCTCCAGACTCACCCGCTGGGGAGGAGCACAGAAGAAGAAAATAGACGCAGAGTACAAAGAAGGTGAGACACGTGAAGGTGTACTGTTTTTTTTTGTTTTGTTTTGTTTTTTAAAAGGCTGATCTAAATCTAAATGTGTTAACGTTTGTGTTAGGGGGCCAGAGGAACTGGGTTCAGGTCTTCTGTAATGGAGGAGTTCCCACAGAGCTGGCTCTGCTGTATATGATAGAGGTATCTGAAAATCACCCGATTCTAAAATGACAAAATAAACAAAATAGTTTCTATTATATGCAAATTTAAATGTTTACTTTAAGTGTATGATTAAAATCCTTTTAAAATGTCGGTTGTGTTTCAGGTGGGTCCAGGTGAGATCCCCATCGATTTCGGTAAACAGTACTCTGCTTCCTGGATGTGCCTCTCTCTGGTGGGCGCGCTCGCCTGCAGCGCTGGGGACACCTGGGCGTCAGAGGTGGGACCTGTGCTCAGCCAAACACAGCCTAGACTCATCACCACCTGGAAGGAAGTCCCAGCAGGTAAGCAGCCAAACAGAGCCAGGTGTATCCTACGTGGAAGTTTTTTTTACCTAGCGGCGAACACTACTTCGATCAGTATCCGTTTACTGATTTATCATGACTTTCAGTCTGAGTTTCTTCAAATGTTGTTGATGTGAAACGGTCATCAGTTTTCCCCTGCTGTGACATGATCAATTGACCTAAAACTATGACACATAAATCTAAATAAAGCCGTCTTTCACACTGTGGAGTCTGCAGGAAGAGCTGTATATACCAATAAGAGGATTATTGATGGAGATACAGAAGGCAGAAGAAACTACATTCAGGAATTCCTTTAGAAATTAGATGTTTTCTGGGAAACATTGGATCTACTGTATAATTGGATTTGTAGACTAAAAATATTCTACACACTGTTCATTTGTTTCTTTGGATTTACTTTCTCATAACGCTCTTTTACCCTCCAGGAACAAACGGAGGAGTTACTCCTGTCGGACTGGTCGCCAGCTTCCTCGGTGGACTCTTGGTGGGCTTCGCTTACTTTGTAACGCAGCTTCTATTGATCAACGACCTGCACCTGGCGGACCCCCAGTGGCCGATCGTAGTTTACGGCGGTGTGGCTGGCCTGGTGGGATCGATGCTGGACTCTTTCCTGGGAGCTCACATGCAATACTCAGGTATTAACAGTCGATGATGAGAACAGAAGCAGTGCTGAACATTTTAGGGAAACTTTAAGGATGAAACTTAAAGTGATTTGTGCAACTGGCGCCAGGTCTTTGTGTCTGAACTTTGTGTGACAGGTACAATTGGTCCTGGTTCTGATCCGTTCCTGTTTGCCCTGTAAAAGTCCTTACATTCCGTTTTCCTGTGACCCTTTCAAATTAAAGTCCCTCTATGTTTTCCTTCGACAGAAACCCTTAATAGGGCTTTTATTGTGAAACATTTGCAGTCATATGATATGCAACAACAGCCGGACAAGATTAAACGAGGACCCCCTAAAGTGGATCATAGTGAATCAATCAATCACACATTAAAATTCTCTTTAAAACTTAAGTGTGTAACAGTGGATGACTGTGTTTCAGCGCTGACTAACAGTGGCACCTACTGGCACTTGTTCATTACTTACAAACTATAGTTGGCTGAGTCTAGTAATGTGCTAAATTTAACGATAGCACACAGTAGAATAACTGCCTCCACATTGTCAAATACAGTGAATCAGCGTCTCTATTGGCCGAGACAGGAAAAGCACGCTTGAATTTAGGGATGTAGCCATTCCTTAGGAAGTGGTTAGAGAGATTATTTTTGACTGTTCGACATGTAAAGCTGTGGATCAGTCTTCAGTGTTACCAACCGGTCATTTCCTCTTCCTGTCTGTCTGTCTCCAGGCTTCGACTCGAGCATCGGGAAGGTGGTGAGTTACGAGTCCGCCACCACCCAGCGGATCTGTGGGAAACCCATCTTGGACAACAACGCGGTCAACCTGTTCTCCTCCGTCCTCATCGCCCTCGTTCTGCCCGGGCTGGCGTGGGGGCTGTGGCCGCGATAGACTGACCGCTGATTTTCCAAACCAGTTGAGTTGTCTGTTGCTTATTATTGGTGGCAAAAGCATCTGCACACTGATCATACTAACACAACACACACTGCCTGTATTATTATGATGGACGGGCTTGAGAGGCTCTGATCATTATTAAAAAGAAAAAAAAAAAAAAAGCATTAACCATTAACGCTGAAGAGGAAAATAAACATTGACTGATGAAAACTTCTTGCAGCGTTTCATACAGTGTACTGCACTTTGACCTCGTCTCATTGCAGCGTGTGAGGTGGGGGAACAGAGTGGACGGAGAGTGGCAGGTTTCCAGAGGTATTACTGTTTTTATTTCAGAGTGTCTGAGAGAAAAGGCACTAAACCAAACTGGGACAGTGACACTGACTTTGACTGTGGGAGAGATGCAGAGGAGCGGAGTCAGCTTTAAATTAACATATAGAAAGTTTACAGAACACCAGGCACACTAACACATTCACACGCTCACACACTGCTTACTATCAACACATTTCCTGATTGGTTAAATACAGCAGGCGGAAAACACCAGGAGCTGGTAAAGGAACCCCCCCCTCCCCAAAATTGTTTGTCAGTATCTAAAGATGAGAAAACATCACATAGTGTTTTTCTTTTTTTCCTTTAACCCAACTTTCCTGAAGCTTTAACACCCGAAACAACAAAATAACTTCATTAACTCTAAAGAAATTATCAATAAAAACTTCTTCTTCCTGCACAAAGAGACAAGTTTTACAATGTTGACGGGACGTTTACAGAAAATAAATCCAGTCTGAATGTTTGTACTTCTCTTCTGATTATCTTTGCATTCTTAAACTTTGGGAAAAAAAAACTTAATTTCACTTCCTCCCTCCCTCCACTGCCCCCACACACACACTGGCTCTAATTCTCCTTAATGCGTCTAGGAAATTATCTTTAATTGAAGAATTTCAGCGACTTGTTACAATCTGATTTAATGATTGTTTTTTATTTTTGAGCAGTCCAAGCTCCTCATGCGGGTTTAAATACTAACATGTCAGTTTCAACCCTTCTTTCGATGCCACTTGTCTTTAAATAATGGAGTGTTACATGTTTCAATAAAAGGAAATAACACATTGGAATGAAACTGAGCAGAAACTCACCAAAACTCCAGATCAGTAACAACAACGGACGTCACAGCCTATTTTTTTTTTGTTTGTTTTTTTGTTTGTTTTTTTGATGATTGAAAACAACAGTTATTTTCTCTCACGCACAAAAACACACTCACACGAGGGGAAGAAGGAGGAGGAGGAGGAGAGAGGGAGGGGTTTCCTGAAATGACCGGATGAAAGGATGAAAGCCAAAACCAGGTGGGGGAGGAGGGGGCGGCGCTTCAGGACAGAGTCTGCTGTTGATTGGAGGGCGAGGCTGTCAGTACGTCCGTCACAGCTGGTCTTTGTAGTAGCCGAGCTTGGCGAAGGACATTTCCCTGCGGAGCTGCATCACCTCCCAGAACATCTGCTCCGCTGCAAACACACAGCAGAGAAAACCACAAGGTCACATGACGGTCACATGGTTCGACAGGTGGTTTAATCACAGCTGAAGTAACTAAGTACATTTTATCAATGATTGCACTTAAGTACCGAGTGATGGCAGTCTGATAGTCTCCCTTACAGTCACTCAACTCTCTGTCCTCTGGTTACTGTTACTAAGAAACAAGGTGTGTGAAGGTGTGCAATTAGGTGTAGGGGAGTGTGTGTGTGTGTGTGTGTGTGTCTCACCGTCCTGCTGTTTGACTAGCCCTTGGTGGATGTAGCGAATGTAGGTGAAGAAATTACACACTGCTGTGATCTGAGGGGAAAACACAAGGCACACAAACAAATACTGCTGTAATCTGTATGAAGACACCACGAACTGAAATCAGCTGTTTGTGAACAGATCCGATCACATGACTGACATCTGTGTTCGATATAAACACAGACAGGAAGCAGACTGATCCTTGTTGGATCTGGGATTCTCGTGGACGTGATGTACGAGTTTGTATTTTAACAAACACTGAACAGAACTGAACATTGACTGAAGATGATGAATCTGACGCCACAAACTTAAGCTCCATTCAGACTGGATTTATGTCTGTGGGGGAGGTGGGGTGACTTGAACATTACCTGTTCTGGTCTCTAACACGTGTGGGTCATGTCCTTGTATTTTAAAGTGTGTTTTTGTCTACCTACTTTTTTTTTCCCTCCCCTTGATCTCTGTGAAAATTTGACTCGTGTGAAAATGCATGAGGTCACAAATGTTTTTGCTGATCTGATACATGGAAACCTGCTCACACCAACATAGGGGCCTACTTTGAGACCAATATGACACAATAAAGCTCAATCAATCTCAATCAAATGAACTGTTGTGATGTCAGCTCCAGGAGGGGACTGCTTCTCTCTTTGGAGCCTTTTTTAAGCCTATATTTATTTACATTTTTGTCAAACTGGAGCCATTAAAAATATGACGAATGATCTATAAGCAGCACCAGAGTAAACATGGATGTACAGACAACTTTCGCTGGACTACTGTGATACTGAAGAAAACTTAATATGATGATTTTCAATTTTTCCTATGATACTATGATATAACCTTACAGCAAAAGATGAGACATAACATGTCTTTGTATCTATAAAAAGAAAATGTTGAAACACTGTTTTCATAAATATGTAAAATGTATTTATTAAAATTCTTGTTGCAATGTTGCTTTTGTCCTGCAGAGGTCACTGTGGTCTGACTGAAAGATTATATTCTGTGTGTGTGTGTGTGTGTGTGTGTGTGTGTGTGTGTGTGTGTGTGTGTGTGTGTGTGTGTGTGTGTGTGTGTGTGTGTGTGTGTGTGTGTGTGTGTTGATACTCACTCTGTATCTACAGTAGGGAGACACATAGTAATAGTTGGACGAATCTCCAAACTTGATTCTGTGCTTACAGGTTTTGGTCTGACCGCTGAGGGCACATTTTCTATCAGACACACAGAGAAACAGAAAGAAACTGGTGATGATTGTAACACATCACTGTGACCTGTCTCACCGTAAGGAGTGATAGACCCTGGGTTTTATTCATTTATAAAAAAGGTGCTTCTTGGTTTCTTTCCCCCTTATAATCACTTATCTGCTGTCTTTTACTGAAGGCTTCTATTGGACTAATCCGCAGGTTTTTACTGAACTTGGAAAACCCAGTTTTTCTCACTGTGCACCTGGAACATCATGCAGAACGATCTACAGCACTTTTTAAAAAAAAATCCAATTTCAATCCTTCATTTCATCTGATTTCACTTCCAGCTGTTCTTCTTTTTGCAGATTCACTTCCTTTATATTTTAATATATAATACTTTTAATATTTATCTGACTTTCCTTACCTCAGTGAGTTAAAATAAAAGGTGGGGAAAAAAAGTCTTTAATGATTTCAAAAGGAGAAAAAATGAATTTGTCAAAAAACTATCAACCAAAATAAAACTATACAGGACTAATGCTAAGACTGGAGGAAGCAAGGAGGGAGCAAAGGAAGCAAGGAGAGAGGGATGAACCTGAACAGAAGGAGGGAAGGGAGGAGGGAGTATTATGAGTTATCAGGGGTGGAAGCCAGGCGGGGTCGAGAGATTTAAAAAGTGCGGATGGGAGACCGAGAGAGAGAGAGAGAGAGGGTCGGACTTACGTGACGAGCTCGGCCCTTCGTCCACTAGAGGAGGAAATTGAGGGAAGATGGAGAGATGATGATGAAGGAGTGAAAGCTTGATGAAGAGGAGAACGAGTTTATGAGTGTGTGTGTGGGGTGGGGGGGACTCACTTTGGTCCTCCACACTCCACCGCCGAGGCTTTGACCACGGGCAGCGGCTGGAAACCGACCGGCTCCACACTGAGCGTGTTCTGCTCCACGGCTTCCAAGATGGCTGAACCCAGCTGAGAGAGAGAGAGAGAGAATCATCAGCAGTGAACAGGTAGCTGAGCTAACGCTAAAGAGCAGAGTCATATAGAGGTGTTTGTACATGAGAGGGACACCTTTATGTTTAGAAAGAATTAATACTTTAGACAAAAATTAAAAATGCAATTGATAAAAATGAGACTAAAATTTCACTGACAAAAAACTAAATTAAAACGTCTTTGATAAAATTGAACTAAAACTAATTTACATTTTGTCAAAAGACTAAAACTAAAATTAACCCTGTTGTCTAAACTCTAAACTCTGATGTTTAAATAAACTTGGCAAATTAGAAGTAGCCTTTATTGTCGTCTTTGTACATGTAACAACAACATTATTTGTTATTATATCAACAAACATAACTGTCAGTTATAAGCTCTGAAATTTGATGCTGGTGCATCTTTAACGAAGCAGAGTTCAAGTTTGTCACTAAAACACTTTGGCTCCTTGACGCCTGACAAACATGTTGATGATCATTTTAATACTTTTGAACGTTTCTGATTTCTTCCTCTCTCTCTCTCTCTCTCTCTCTGTACCTCGCTCTTGCTGAAGGTGAGGCAGGGGTAAATGTCCTCGCGGTAAACTCTCTCCAGGAAGCAGCAGCTCCGGTCGAGCGTGGGCTCCTCCTTCCACGCCCTGAACTCGCTGAACAGCTGACTGTCCACCTGCAGGGATGAAGGGGAGTATTCATTTACATTTATGTCACGTTCACTTCCTGGTGTCTTTCTAATAACATAATTTGGGGCTGAATCTAATGATTATTGATAGATAAAGCTCTGTGGGCAGACGTGTGCACGCTCCTACCTCTCTACACTCCCGTACGATGGGCTGCGTGGCCGACGGGTCGGGCTGCGTCCCCAGGATGGCGGAGGAGGTGCTCTTGTTCCGGCTGTGGCCCTTCCTGAAGGGAGTCTTCACGCCTCCTCCTGCAGAGGGGAGTTCGCCCACGGGGGAGGTGGGGGAGGAGAGCACCAGCGTCTTCAGGGCCTGGACCTCCGCCTGCAGCACGTCGATCTGAAGAGGAGGAGGAGGAGATGGTTCAGGGTGTGTATTAAACAACGTTTCAGAGTTAAGGAAGATTAAAATGCATCATTGACAATTTTGGATGGAGGAGGAGGAGGATGATTTCCTGCTCTGATGAATTTAACAAGAGCTGAGACAAAACATCAGAGAGAATGTGTATGTATGTGTGTGTGTGTGTGTGTGTTCAGTGTTACCTTGCCCAGAGCTTCTTTCAGTTGTTTCTCAGCATATGCCTGTTTGACGTTGGCTTCTCTGACCATTTTGTGAGCTTCCTGGAAAACACACACACACACACACACACACACACACACACACACACACACACACACACACACACACACACACACTTAGATATTCTTCACTCGATGTATTTGTTGGGATTTAGTTTTCAATCTACACACACTCAAACACACAAAGATCAGTTCACTCTAAAAAAAATAGGATAAAAGCATAAAGTAAAGCTCAGACTGTGCAACTGTTTGTCTACTACACACACACATTGCTTTCGCTAAACATGTGAACAGGCTACAGGAAAAACACACACACACATACACACACACACAGTGTCCCAGCACCTTCTACGAGGAAAAGGAAGAGTGAGTCGAGAAAAAGTGGGAGAAATGTGAAAAGGAGCGACATGTTCTGAAGGCCGGCCGGACAGATTCAGTCTGAGTCCTGAACCCGAACATCGAACGGCAAGAAATTTGTCAAGCAACACGTCTCTGAGTGGGACGTCAGGTGGAAACGTTATGTAACTCGTCCAGAATCTGAATTGCCAGAGTCACAGTTGTTTCTTTTTTTTTTTTTTTTAAATGTCGTGATGGACGATCAAGAAAAAGAACCCGAGAGGCTTCGACTTCACTATAAAACAGTGAGTAGTAACGTGGAGGTTTTCACATCTCTGCGGCCAAACAAATCTTATGTCGATCGTTTGATTCTTTTCTGTCCAGTGTCTGTCTGGCCGCTGCCTCAGGAGGAAGGGAAACAGGAAGCAGGAAGCAGAGGAGACTGACAGACGGAGGAGAGGCGGACCGACCTGGAAGAGACTGGCGGTGAGCTCCTCCAGCTCCTGGCCGAGCTGATCTCTGACTTTAGACAACCTCTCACACTCCTCATCCTTCAACAGCAGCTCCTTCCACACACACACACACACACACACAAAAAAAACAGAAAAACAACCAGCAAATGAAAACATAAAAGTAAAATCATAGCGTGGCAACAACAAACAAAGAGATGAAGAAATAAAAATTAGTGAAATATGTTTGTTTTGTTTCTGTTTTCAGTCGTTCTCAGACACAGTATCTTTAATATTGTGTGATTCAGACGGAGTTGACTTTTACATTAACGTTCCTCGTGGCTTCATCCTCACATGACAGCTTAATAACTTTTAATAATTCTAATTTTAATAATAACTTCGACATGACACATTTTATTCACTGCTTGGTTTTCAAACTTATTTTCACTGTTGAAGCTTTAATGACCATCGAGAGCTCGAAGGACGGACGCCACCACCACCTCTCTTCACCGTGACTCTACTGACACAGTTTGATAACATGACAGTGAAAACAGGCCCTGCCTCTGAGATGGATCAGTCTTCTCTGTCACTGTAATCGAGTTTGTTGAACTGATTTTGTGCAGAAGAGATGATGACTGAGATAATATGATTATTACACTGATCAGCATTTAATCTCTCTCTGCATGTTTTACCTTTGTAGCTTTCATGTTAATCCGACAGAGTCTGATCCACTGCAGTTAGAATTATATTGTGACTTTCACATTAAAGAGACCAAGGAGCTTTTTCAGACGTGATTCAGGCTGCACGTTAAATTATAACAAATATAAAACAATACAAAAAAAAATATGCATTTAAATAAAATATGGAAAATTACATGATGTCAATCCAAGTCATGAGGAGCTGTGGAGAGATGTAGTGAAGTCTCACTCACACACACACACACACACTCACAGTCCAACTGCACACACTCGCATTCAATTTTAGATTTCAATCATTTCAAGTTAATATAAGAACGTGTGTGTGTGTGTGTGTGTGTGTGTGTTACCCTCTGGGCCTTGGCCAGCTCCTCCTTCAGCCTCTCGTATCCTTTCTCTCGGACCTCCATCACCGACGGGCTGCGCAGCCGCGACAGGCTGTCGCTCAGAGCGCTGCACTCCTCCCCGTCCTCTCCGGACAGGAAGTTGCCCTCGGCGGACTCCGCCTCCAGGCCTGGCACGCTGTGCATCGTTACCATGGAGACAACAGTGGTCAATTATGGGTTACAGCTCATCTTCAAGGCTTTGTGTTGTCTTTCTGCTCTTTTCCCTGCAGGTTTTTACAGATAATCTGCCTCCAACAACTGCAATTAAACATTTTGAAAAAACACCAGGAAGTGTCAAGTTGTTGCGTTTTCTTTACCTTCCATTGTGGCTGTGCCGCGGTGTGGAGTAAACCGGCTGGGTGGGGAGCTGGTCAGCCCTCAGGGAGGTGGGGAGGCCAGGAGGGGGGGCTCCTAGAGAGTGGGTGCGGTAGAGAGAGGTGGGCGGTGTGCTGTGACGGGCAGGGGGGCGCTGCTCCGCTTGGTTCTGCAGGAACGGAAACACAGGGAAACCAATAAAGCCGCTGACGGTTACCAGGGCAACACATGGGAGTGTCCGGCTATCAGACCTACCTGAAGGTCAGGTGTGGTGGGCGAGGCCAAGTTCACCTCGTGGAACCCCTCCAGAGTTTCGGCATTGCTCTGACCGCTGCTGCAGGCCATAGCAGCTGCTCTCAGACATCATACACTCTGCAGAGAGCGCACACAGCTGTTAGTGATGCTGCAGTGTTTATTCCACTTCACAAACGTTCACAACAGTGAGTCACGTGAGGCTGAGGCCGCTCGCAGTCTGAGGTCGGTCCAGACTAAAGACAGTGAGTCAGCGACTAACAGCGGCTTCACATCTTTCTTTGTGGATGTGGTAAACAACAACAAATCTGCACTGATCGGCTACAAGTATTTTTCTCACTGAGAGTCTGCTTTCAAACTAAACGTGTTCAGCACTTCAGTGTTCTTCTGAAGGTGTGTGTGTGTGTGTGTGTGTGTGTGTGTGTGTACCATAGTGCAGCTGTAGATGTAGAGGCTGGGAGGATGGATGGAGGCTTTGCAGTCAGTCAGACGCTCATCAGACAAACAGGAAGTGAAAACCGGGACAGTTTACAGGTGAACCAGTGACTCAGCAAACACACTCACACCTGAAAGAGAGAGGATGAGTTTTTATTCATTTTCTACTGGGCATGTTCATCATTACAGACTGTTTTAATGTAATTACCAATACCATAATTAAGTTTTTGATGACTGGTGCACAAACTGCAAAGTTCTCACATTCATCAGTTTAATTGTGTTAAACACAAACAAACAAGAACTTTTCCCAGATAGCAATGATTTAAATAGCTTTAGATTTAATATCTTTGTGTTTTGGTCAGTTGGTTCAGCAAAACAAAACATCTGTGACATTTTATAGACTAATCAATTATTCTAAAAATAACTCAAATCAGGGCTGGGCGATTTATTTCATTTTTTAAATCACGATTTTGGCTTTCAATGATTATGAAAACAAGAGATCGAGATAAAACGATTAATTTGCCACATTCTGTTTTGCAACAAATTTCATCCCCCCTACAAAAACCATCCCCTCACCCACTTCCTGGTTATGTTTCGGCAAATGTTATAGGACTGTATCATCTTGAGCAGCTTTCAGGTTCAGAGACATTATATATAGTCGGGAGAGACCATGTCCTGTTTGCCTTTAACTTATATTGTTCAAACAGGAAGAAAACTACATAGACACAACACTTTTTGTTTTGAAATCTGTTATTGATTTTAGATTCGTTTCCAAACTCAATGAGTAATCGTGTTAAATAATCATGATCTCAATATTGATCAAAAATAATCGCGATTATGATTTTTGCCATAATCAAGCGTAACTGATAAGGAAACTGTTAGTTGCAGTGTTAGAAGAATAATAAATTAAGTATCCAGGTAGATTCAGGATGACAAAGCAGTAGTAAAGGATCAGTGTATGAACTCAGAGTTCACACAGTGGGATACAAGCACAACAACACACCACAGGTTTAACTGTTGATCACTTCCTATTAGTAGTTTATCTTTTGAAATGCTAAAAATCCTGTCAACCATCTACATCAGAGACATCATATCTGCAGGATGGAGTGTTTTAAGGTTTATGGTCCTGAGTGTGGAGGACACCACCTCCACCTCTAAGCCACCGTGTTAAAGTCATGGACAGAACATCCAGGACGAGGAGACTGTAGCTCCATCCGGACGCAGCACAATTAGACAGTCAGTCTTTTCTGTGAGAGCAGTGATCAGTGATACTCTACCAGTGGAAACAAAGAACTGCACCACATACAGTCCTTATAAAACAAACTTATTATTATTGACATTTCAATTTATTATGTAGAAAATACATTTTATCACTTGTTAGTTTTGGTTGTGTCATCTGGGTCTGGCACATTCACACGGAGGTTGTTACCACCAGTACTGAATGATGTGCTCTGTCCCACATAAATACAATAAACAAAACAAACAAATAAACAAATTCAATCGTGTGGTTGGTCCGTTTGCTTTCAGACCGCGAATGAACCGCATCAGAGTCGGCTTGGGAGTGAGGCCAAGACCCTCCTTTTCAACTGGTCTTAGTTCGGTTGTTGGACAGTTTTCACACACACTTTTAACAACCACTCTTCCACTGCTCAATGTGTTTTTACTGGATTAGTGCAACAAAGCTACAATGCAATAATCATACAGAACGAACATTTCCCCAGTCCGTACTCTGGAGTATTGAGGCTCCAAACCCAGCACACCTCCCTCCTCCTTTTTCCACCTCCAGCAGGTTTATGATTCACTTTATGAAGCCAGACCAGGATTCTGGTTTTACTTTTACTTCCTGGGTCAAACTCCAGTAACAAACACACAGTCTCGGGAGTGACTGACTCCAAAACTCCTCCTGTTTGGCCTGAAGCAGAGAACAAAGCATCAAGTCTTATTTTCATACCAGAGATCCATCCCTCCATCATCATCATAATCATCATCATCTGTTCTTAAAATAATCTGTGTGTGACTCTGTGTTCATGTTAACCTTGCTTTTGTTTCGCCTGCCTCAGCTCAGCAGCACACCGGTCCCACCTGCTCAGCATGGTGTGTTTCTGGGTGTGTGTGTGTGTGTGTGTGTGTGTGTGTGTGTGTGTGTGTGTGTGTGTATTAAGTGGGTGTGTCGCACACTAAGTATATACACAAAAGTTGGAATCAGCGACTTGTTCGTGAGGACAAATAAAACCTGTGTGACTCAGAAAACCTCACGTCACGACCTCAGTTTATTTACAGGTCAGACAAAGAACAAGGTCATTGTGTTTTTTTATATGATTATGTCGAAGTCCCACCTTCTTCTTTTAATGAGTGTCTGCAGACACGTCCATTAAAAAGGTTATTTTAGGTTTCATCCCTCCTCAATGAAGTTTCACTTGCACATGAATAAGATATGAAGACGAAGCTAAAACATGATGCATATTAATCCACCAGAATTAACCTTCAGGCGTGTTTATGGCTGCAGCTAATGATTATTTCCATTATTAATTAATCTGATAATTATCTTCTCAATTTATTGATACATTACTGTGTCTATAAAATGTCAGAAAGTGTTGAAAAATGCCACACACCGCATCGCACCTGTCAGTCAAACCCAGGTGAAACCCCACCCGCCTCACACTAGCCAACCCTTCCTCTAGCCCCCTCTGCCCGTCTCCATGGAGACCAGTCCTGTTGAACCTGTGGTAACCTAACACGCTGATGAGGGATGCCGGGTACTGATCCAGTTACCCCTGCTGCCCGGTAAAGGCTCAGCCCGTGTGTTTACTGTCGTCATATGCGGCATTACGTCATCAGACACGCCGACAACAACGTGAAAGACTTTCAGTCAGCAGCAGCCCCTAAAGGAAATGATGAGAATTAACAATAATATAATAAATAGATACTGTGTGTCCCATTAACCATGATTCAGTTCCCATGAATTGTCAGTTGATTCCACTTGGAACATCCAGAAAATAAGACTGAACACAGTCTGCAGGAAGGAAAAACAACTGAAATGAAGAATTCAGGTTTTCTCTCCATAAATAAATGACAAAGTTCGAATTTAAAGTTTTAAATGTTTCACAAAGCTTTTACAGATGTCACTTTCTAACCATTGTATCTGGGCTTTCAACCCAGCCTCCCCAAATTCTCATATGCTTAAGACTGAAAGGCTGCAGGGCTTGGAATACACTGATGGAAACCCTGGAAATCCAGACGTCCCAGACCTGTTGCATGACTGTCTCTTTCTTGCCTAATTTAGTGTCATTGACTGCTGGTTTGGACAAAACATCTGAAGATGTCACTTGGGCTCTTGGAAACTGTGACACGCACCTCATTATTTTTTAGACATTTTATAAATGAACCGATTAATCGAGAAAATAATCTGCAGTTTTATTGATAATAAAAATAATTGTCAGTTGCAGCCCTGAAGAAATGAGGTGTCAGATGTCTTGATAATGACAATAATTACTGCTTGCAGCTTTACAGTACTACATGGTTAGTTAGTCTTTTGAAAGATGACGGTGTTGAGTTAATTGGGAACAAAATATTCATACCGTGATGATGATTTCAGGTTATCACCAAGTCCCATCAGTTCAAGTATTAAAGACAAGTGTTTAACTTCGTGAAACCTGACACTTGACTTTGCACTAGAACTGCAGCATACGCAACAAACACTAACTGAGTTTACACCGACAACAGCTCCTCTGTTCATTCACATGATTTCCAGCTAAAACACTATTAACTTAGAGCCTGCTGAAGCTGTTTACACTGGCGCCTGTGTGCTGACAGGCTGAAGTCAAACCTGAGTTTAATAAGTGAGCTCACATGACTCAAACATTACGGACAGTGGTGGAGGAGGAAGCATTCAGGGCCATTACTTATATGCTGATACCTCTTTGTAAAAACAAAGTCCTGCATATAAAAATTAAAAATACAGAAGAATTATCAGGGAAATGTACTGAAAGTATTCAGTACTCAATGCAGTTAAAGGAACTAGTTTTAACTATTTTGTTATTTTGATGTGGATTTTTTTTTAGCTTAGTTTAATTTAGTTTTTGTTGTTGTTGTTGTTGCTGTTGTTTTGCTATGGATGCCATGAGCTGGGTCCTACGACTGAATCAGCTTTCTATAATAAACTTAAAATTTTGGTGTTTTCACTGTTGTTCGGAACAAAAACAAATAAATTTGAATATGTTATCTTGATCTTAAATTATCAATAATTAAAGAAAATTAGAGCTGCAATGGTGATTAATAGATTATCTGACCATCATAAAATTAAATCAGCAATTATTTTGATTGCTGATTAATCATTTAAGTCATTTTTTAAGCAAAACTTTTCAGACATATTGGTAATAAAGATAATTGTTGGCTGCAGCCTTACAGTACTTCTATGATGATGAATAATATGACCTGGCCAGTGGTTTTCTGTGCCTTAATTACTACTCATAAAAGCAATTTGATAACACACAACTTTACAACAAATATAAAGGATCATGGTTCTAAAAGTAGATTTTTATGAGATAAGACTACACTATGGAGGACCTGTCAGAGTTTATATTGTACTTCAAAGCTGCAAAAGCCAAACAAATTTGTAATTATTCAAATGATTTAGACCCAAATAATGTGGAAGGGACCTGGGGTTCAGGGGCCCCTGGTGGGTTTACCCTGTCAGTCATCCAGCCTTGCCTCTGAAATGTAGTAAAGTAGAAGTGGAAACATGAAATGAAAACACTTAGGTAAAGTACAAATGCCTCAGATTTGTATTTAAGCACAGTAATTGAGAAGGGCACCTGTTTCAGGTGACAGCTAGGTTTACTTAGCACTGGTTTAGCTGCGGCTAGCATGTGGGATGCTAAGATGCTAACAACTACTGAGCATCGGGGGGCGTGTGGACGGGAGCGGAGGGGAGGGGAGGGGGGGCTGATGTTAAAAAGCTAACGGGTGTTATGTGATACTGCCCGCATCAAAGATGCATGAAAGCGGCGTCTCATCGCTGCGTGTCGGCTAAGGTTTCGTTGCCACATCGAGCTAACGTGTATTTAAAATTACATTGCCGAGCTAACGGTAGCTAAGTACCATCCGCTTCATTCAGAGGATATTTGAGCATTTCTGTTAGCTGCGACAGTCATGTGAGAAACACTGCAATAAACAAACAAACTGACAAAACAGCTAAAAAAAACAATAACAAATCTGTCATTTTCCTTCAGAAACTAGTAGCTAATATATATCCGTTACTCGCATCCTGAGGGATTACTGATGAGGACGGACACCCTGCTTCCATTATCGGCCACCGCACAAAACCCAGTCGTATTTAGCTAATTTCACTGATATAACCGACAACAGGGGGTGTATCCTAAACAAACGTGTCTCAAATAAGGTTCAGTATCATTCATCATGGACGGTCTGAGTGTGTGGCTGCTTGGTGCCGAGGAAGAGGGAAAAACAGTGCGACAGACGGTGCTGTGTCCGATAATGGGCGCTGTTACCTTAATGGTGCATTTGCATGCGGCTAAGCTAACTAGCGCGCCCATAGCAAGTTACATTAACTTAGCTGAGAATAATAATAACAACAGTAGCGTTAATAAGTCGGTAGTTGTGGACTCACCGGGCCTTTATGTGCAAAGCAGCCGAACCAGCAGCCGAACCAACCCGACAAACAAACAAACGGACACGGCGGAGCGGCTGTTGACGCAGACCGGGGCAGGTTACTCCAGAATGACGGGAGATGCGTTTATGGATCACTGGGAAAATAGAAAACCACCACTTTGTTTTTATAGCTGCCAGCAATATAGAGGCAGGTTACCTGGGTTGTATGTATAACACTGCACCCCAGTGTCAAAAAATATAAAGTGCAGAATACAAAAGGTGTCAATACACGTGGGTTTTTTTTTTTATCATTTGAAAATAATGATAATAATACATTTAAAAATCCTCAAATGAACACACAAAAGGCTTAGTAGGAAGGGAAATAATTCAATAGGGCCCCAACAAAAGCCTGGAATGAAAAAAAAGACCCCATATAAGTTAATCAAATGGACTGCAGAATCAGATACAGGTGGTGTTTTCTGGTGAGTCCTGTTTTTAACCTAGGTTTGTTAACATTTTGGCAAACTGGCACCATTAAAAAGCAGCTGAACTAGCTATTAGCAGCTCCTGTTTGCAGTATACATATGGATGCTCAGACAACTATCACTGATTTACTCTGATACTGAGGAAACCTTAAAATGTTTATGATTCTCAGGCAAGTTTTGAACCACCTTTTTCAATTATTTCTGAACAGTTTTATGGATGTTTATTATGGATGGACATCATAAATAATAAGTCATGGCTCTGAGAAAGAGTGTGGTTTTTGAGTCAGATTCACCTCATGTACTTGTATCCACATATAAGTCCCTCACACCAAAGAAAGAAGGAATAAGCTAGAGGCTGCAGCCAGCAGGGGGAACTGAATACAAACAAATCAAGAGTGTGAAGTCCTCTCCTCATTTATTTTTAATTCAATTCTTTGCCCTCTGTAGTAAAAGTGCATTTTCATTTGCCACATTAATTTATCAGTTTCTCTAATTTTGGAAACTGATTATGTGCACTCACAGATCCCTGCTTTATTTAGATATAACTTTTCAAAGCTGTACAAAGAAGTATAAAGTTTAAAGAATAAAGAGCAATTTCTCTCAAGGAAGTCAATCTGGAAGTTAATAGTAAATCCAATACGACTAATTCAAGTCACTAAACTACATGGTTCTTTCCAGGTAATTTTCAAGAAATTATTAGAAAATAATGAATCTGTAAATAAAGCTTTGTCAAAAAAGGTTGACACCATTTTCAGCAAATACTTATAATATTATACTTATAGCTTTTTTTCCCTTTCTTCAAAATACCCAAATGTTTCTCCCTTGTTCTCCATAGTCTTGTTTTCTTCCACTGTATCTATAGTATCATTTAGAACCAGTAAGTATTTTATTGGTCCCTGAGTCATGCAGCGTAATGACTCTGTGAATCGTGGACTGCGCATTGAAGTGTTGAGCCATAAATATAAGTGATTGCTCAGTGCTAAACAAATCTCTCGGTGAAATGGGTCAAACGGCAAAAAGGGCAAAGGTTAAATATCCTACAGTTCCTGAACCCATCCCAATGAAACTCCGAGATAGGTGTGTGGTGTGAGCGCATTAGATAACTTTCCAGTGTGTCACTATCATCACCTCACACCTGTATGAAACCACACACACACACACACACACACACACACACACACACACACACACACACACACACACACACACACACACACACACACACACACACACACACCCTCCTGACGCTGTGGGCGGAGTCTCTTCGTGACTTAAAACTGGTGCGTAAGGTGCCTGTCATTACGCACACAGAGCTCAGCAGGAGCGCACGAGAGGAGCGCGAAACCACTGGACTGGAAAGATTCTTCCTTAAATCACAGATTGAAGTTGATGCTTCCTCAGTGAAGGAAACTATTGATGTTACGATGAGCGATCTGTGGAGTTGTTGGGTAAGTCGCGTTTAAATATTAATATATTAAACAGTAATAAGTTGTGTATTCTTGCGTACACTGCGAATATACTGTGTTATTTATTACATCATAATAAAAATATCTGTGTCGAAAAATTGAGAAAAATGTATCTCTGATCAATATAAATCAACAATTTAAAAATGGAACAGTTCATAGTTTTCTTTATTTTAATTTCCCAGATTATCAACAAGATTCAGTCAATCTAAGTCACTTTTTCCTTCTCATATTGTTTCATTTTGATATTTTTTAGAGCCTAGAAGAGGTAAAACTATCCAATATTTTACAAGAAGAAAGCAAAAACATGTATTTTTTGCTATTTTGAATGTCATTGTATGTACAGTACACTGTCTCGTACAGAAAACAATGAATTTGGGAGAAATTTAAGGTAGAATAACTTTCTTTGCTGCTGCTGCTGCTGCTGCCTTTTATAACACTAGAATGGGGTTTTTATCTTTTATCCTCACCTTTAGGTTTAATTCATGACCCAGCAGATTTATAAAGATGTTATGTGTTGGTCCAAGCTTGTGAACAAAGTTGCCTTGGCTGCAGACATTATGTTATCATAAGCTGAATGAATGGTATTATTCATATATTCAGTGTTGTTCTTGGCGTCTCAGTTTTCTTTCTGGCGCCTTTTTGTTTTCTGAAGTCTTTATCAGAGCAACATTACACAGGAATGTGTTCAATGGTTTCGGCTCCTGGAGCCTGTTGTGCAGCTCTACCTGTTCAAGGTTAACTGGTCCATCAGGTGTCTCTGTGATGTGATGCTGGGTTGTAAACTTAAGTAACTGAGTACATTTAGTCACTCTGAGGTGTTTTTACCTACTTTTATGCTACTTTATACTTGTATTCCTCTAGATTTCTGAAGGAAACAATTTACTTTTTACTCCATTGCTCTTATCTGACAGACACAGTTATAGATTGTGCATAAAAACACTAATAAACGAATAAAATACAGTAAATTGTTAAATATTAAACCAGTGTTCCTGATATTTTTGGCTTGGATTTCCACTAAGGAGACATTTCCCCATGAAAACTTTTCACATAGTTCCAATTAAATTATTGTTTGATAATATTTTTGTTCCTATTAATCATTTCAATTCAGTTCTGATACTTTAAATACATTTAAATGATAATAATTTTTAACTGAAGTAGGATTTTTAAAGCAGGACTTCTACTTGTACAGGAGTATTTTTACATTCTTGTATCAGTTTCCTTTGACCTTGAGTAACCTCTCCCTGAGGTCAGTTGAATGTCACCTGTTTGACGCCTGGTCCCTCCTCTGCGTCTCCAGACTCTACAGAAGATTCGATGATTCTTCGGAGCGAGACCAGATGAGATCCGCGAGCACTGGACCCATCCTGAGATGTGCAGCTGACCTCTGACCCTCGTACCATGGACGTCCGTCTGCAGGCCAACCCTCAGCTCCACTACACAGTCAACGGGGGGGCCGGCCGAAACCCCAGGCTTGGTGTAAGTATCTGAAAACAAAATCGAGGTTAATCAGGACCAGATTGAGAGTGAACACACTTGAGATCTGCTTTGCAGGGTAAAACATCTTCAGTTTACGTAGATATTAAAAGGCAGTTACATAATAAATAATAATAATCATCATCATGTTTTATATTTTAGTCTAGAGGTAAGAATCATGGTAATTAACAAGATGGGAAAGAAAGGAACAAGTTTTCGGTCTGAGACTAGACGTCATTCAGAGGATATTCACCAATGAACTACAGCGTGCAGCTATATATGTTGCATCCACGTCATATGGGATTCAACCTACCAAGCCATTTGTTTGCAAAAAAACACTCTTAATATGTGAATGTGAATGTTACAAATAAAGTTACAGATAAAGTTAAATTCATAACATTTCAGCGTTTAACAACAGACTTTGCCATCACTTCTCTACTTTTATCAGAGTTTGCAGAAAACTTGGATGAAGTCTTGGATGTTGACATTTATGATATTTACAGGTGGGGAAACTGATAATTACGATAACTTTGATATGACGTGAACGTGGCATTAGCCTAGCTTAGCATAAAGACGGAACGCAGGGTTGTTTCTTGGACACTTTCTGACACATAATCTGGCGTAAAACCACAATGTGTTTCTTCTACACTTTGTGTATTTACACACAACACATACTTTCGACAGAGCTGCCAGATTTGAGAGCGTTATCAATCCTTTCATCTAACTCTTGGCAAGGAAGCAAAGCAATTAGCCCGTCTATACTATTCCTATAAGTCCCACCTAAATAATTATCATCTACAATAGAGTAGATTTATTGGCTGTTGCCAGGACAATTGCTGCTGTATAGGGGACACAGGTTTGTATAGAGTCATCTTAAACACAGTAAACACACTCAGCATATCAGATGAACAACTGATTACACAAATCTCTGCGCTGTGTTTACACAATGCACCCAGTCACCACAGACGCTGAGAAATTACACCTGCTTAATCCCTTCGCATGCCTCGGGGATGACATTTATTATCAACGCATAACACGGCCAAACCGGTCGAGCTGCAGTTTTCTAGGTCCTGAGCTGCTTCACGACAATGTGCACCATTCAGTCCAGCTGAAACCGGAACATGTTTATCTCCTGTGGTTTCAGTTGGGTGTTGCTGCAGGTGTCTTTTGTGTGTCTGTCTGTATGTGTAAAGCAAAACAAGGCTCTCGGTAACCTTGTTGTGGCGCCAACACCGATGTCAGCAACAAACTCTGTTTGCCCTGTCAACCACGAGCTGAAGGTCATCACCTTGAAAACAGCTCAAATAAGCAGCTTCCTTCAGGCTGGTGGTTGTGTAATTGTAGTAAAACATGGCATGGGATCAAAACAACCTGTGAGATGTTCTATTCATCGTTGTACAAGTTCTGTTTATACACTTCAAGGAAAAACAGTAATTCCACTTTCGCCTTATGTTTGTAAATTTCCTCCCTAGTTCTGAATAGTTGGTTCAGACTGGTCACTAGTGAACTTATTAAGTTATAAGGAACAGATTTGGGAATGCTCTTATTTGCTTTCTTTGTGAGAGTTAGATAAGATGATAGTCATATCTGTAGCAGCAGCTGGTTAGCTTAGCTTAGCATAAACACTGGAAACAGAGGGAAACATGAAGCTTGGTTCTGCCCAAATGTAACAAAATCCACCTAACAGCTATGTGTTTTTAATTAACACATTATATCTCTTTACAAAAACCAAAGCAAGAAGCTGGAGTCAGGATGTGGTTAGCTTAGCTTAGCATTAAGACTGGAAGCATAGGGAAACAGCTAGCCTCACTCTGTCCTAAGTAAAAAAGAAAAATCACCCATCAGCACCTCTGGAGCTCAGTGATTAACCGGCTGTATATTGTCTGTTTAATCTGTTCGCAAACAGGGATGGCAAAACTACATTTTGTGGTTTTATGAGAAGTTAAGACTTCTATCAACTGCAAATAGGTAGGTAGGAAACAGTTTTGGTTTTGGTCTTTGTGCGCGATGGCTCCAAACGTGGCAACCTCACAGCAACAAGAAGACTTTGGGACAGTCACTGTGCCCAGATTCTTTGCCAAGAAATAGTTCCAGCGCATAACTCCTCCTAAAACCACAAACAGTGTTTTCACATTTCTGTTTGTGTACATATTAAACAAATGTTATTTTTTAATTTTCTAAAGGGAATGCATTGATAAAAAGTAGAGGAGAGAAAGGTTTCTGTAGAGTTCTACCTATGTGCTCATGCCTGCAGGGAATGAGTATGCCAACAGCTAAATTAATTTGTTTGTTTACCATTTAAGCATCACTAAAAGTGAAATATCAAAGGTATTAAAACTAGATTTTGACACCATTTACGTCTACAAGGTTTCGTACAATTACCAGTTTTGTTGTAATGTTGTAAAAGGAGCATGAAAACAGATTTTACTGCACATACTTTACTCGTTATGTAGTAGGTTTTCTTTGAAAAGGTTCCAGTCCTTCTTTCACAGCGGCTTATTTTTAGGTCCACGACACATTGTTACAGGGGGTTACCTATTCCCTACAGCCATGTGGTTTAGTTTAAATAGGTGGACTTGATCTTTATCAGGACTGAAAAAAAGACCACAAAGTGAAGCAGCAAAATCAGTAGTCACAGTGTGTTGTTACTGGATAACCCATTGTGTTGTTTCTCAGTGGCAGCACTGTGTGAAGCAGGACAGGTAGCTGTGGAGGTGAAGCACAGATGGGGAGAGGCAAGGAGGGAGGGGCAACAGAAGAGAGGGGCATTTGAGCTAAATATAGGGTGGGAAAGAGGTTTGGAGGGTTGGGATGCAGGAACAAACAGGCCTGTGTTCACTCTGTACACACGGCTACTGTATGAGAAAGTCATAGTGGATGATTTGCACCGTGGTGACAAGAAAGGTTGAAGACGAGTCTGGTGCTTCTTTACTAAACATTAAAATCGGAAAGTAGAAGAGCAGCTTGAAATAATGATACTGAAGAAGTGGAGTCACAAGTTTTAACTGGTTAATACCAGATTCAACTTTTTATGACATACAACAATTTACTCGATGAAGATATTCTTACATCTAAATGTTTTAGGCGCGGGTGCCTTGGAAAGTGTCACTTGAGTCTTGAAAAGAAGAATATCCCGCACACTGCTCTTTCTCAGCTTCACCATTTATTGATCATCCAAACATTTCGTCGGAAGTCTAGAGAAGCCAAAGGTCTAGAGATGCAAATGTTTCAGTCTCTCCAGACCTTCGTCAGACTGCTGATCAAGAGCAGTGTGCAGGATATTCTTCTTTTATATGACAAGTACAACAAAATTATACTTGAGTAAATGTACTTATTTACTTTCCACTACTGGCTCATATCTAAGTACCATGACTGATTGGATTCCTGAATATCAAGGGGCTGGAAACCACCCAGACGAAGGCAGGATAGTGAGCGTGGTGTATGTAGCCTGCACTGGTTTGCATCTCGCTCTGTGTGCATTGTCAACGTTAGAAAAAAATGACATTACACCATATAAATAATAGTTTCTGTGCTTTGGCCGTGACAGGAAGACAATGCTCTGCAGTTTCTGAGCCAAGAGGAGCAGGAGTGCATCCAGTTCTTCGAGGACACCATCGACTCTTTGGAGGAGGGTCTGAGCGAGGACGACCAGAGGTCCGGGCAGATGAAGCCTGCCGCAAGCAGCAGCGGTCCTGTCGAAGAGATGGACAGATGCCTAACCTCGAGCCCCAAACCTGCAGTCACTGTGTCTTCCCTCGTGGCCAGACCTCTCAGTCCCAAAGACCAGGATATTATAGACCTGGTCCGCCCAGAACCGGACTTGGTGATGACGAAAGAGCCAATCTTTAATCCCACCACTCCAGGTAGAGTACTGCAGTTGGTTCTTGTATGAATCAAGGTACCAAACACAATAAAGAATACTTCATTTATTTATTGGCCTACAGTCACTTCAATATATTAAGTCTAAAAATACTGGAATCAGCCTGTGAAATCGTTACCATGGTACGTTTGGAGGTTGCTAAAAACCCCCCAAAAAGAGCCAAAACTCAAGTCGTTATCAGATTTTCACCTTGCAATTTGTTCCTCCCAGATTTTCAGAGTATGTTGCCGACCCCTGAAAGCCACTTCGAGATAAAGCCGTGGCGTGATTCGATGGACAGCTTGCCTTCAGAGTACAACCCTCCCTTACCAAGTGGCAGCTATGGGCCGACAGACAGCCACTCCTCCTACCACCCTCCAGGCTGTATTCCCACTCCGGTTCTGATTGCCCAGAAGATAGCTGAGAACCAGGCAGGTGGAACCTCCACTTTGCTTCCCTCCTCACTCCTCCACCGCCGCAGCCTCGACTATGAAAACCCACCGAGCTACAGCGCAGATCCTCCCGTGAAACAGGGTCCTCCTACCTCTGCTAAGCCGCCCCGCTTCCCTGCTAACATCAGCATGATACTCAGCAGCAAGGAGCATCAGAACCAGTCTCTGGCTAATGTGAACATCCACGAGAGACGGGCACAAATGCTGGCAAACCTCACAGGGACAACCCACCCTCTGCTGCAGGAAGATCCTCAGCAGGCTGTGGAGCAGAAGGCTCGAAATATTCCCACTCGCAGCATTTCCTTCAGGGACCCAACACCCGACAAATCCAGGATGGAGGCCTTGTCTAAGTTGGGCCTAAACAGGAACCGAGCCATGTCTGGGTGTACGTCGCTCCTTCCTAACAGTACCATGCTGGATGCTCTTGCGGGTGCAGAAACCAGTGCCAAACCTCTTGAAGCCAGTGTTCCCCCAACAACAGAAACCAGCACCAAATTGCCAGAAGCCAATGTTACAACATCACCTCTGAGCCAGAGTCACAGCGACAAAAAAGCAGAGATTCTGCGGACAAATTCCCTCAGGAGCCAGGAACACAGAAACCCCCAACCGAGCCCCTCACCTCCAGCAGTGACACAAAGCAGTTACCACCCGCCTCCTTTGGAAAACAAGGCATCTGTCCCCCCTCCACCTGAGCTCACCTTGCTGGAATTTAACAGCTACGGAGGGAAATCCATCGTGGTCAACCGCTCTCTTTCCTCCAGGAGCGAACCTGAAACCCATCCAACCAGCCATGAATCCAAAATCCTCCCACCTGCACTGGCTAACCCCAGCGAGTTCAACACCTACGGGGGAAAGACCAAAGTTATGACCCCTGTTTCCGTAACCGTGACCAGGAACGACCTTCCTGACATCCTCAGCTCCCATATTGACAAGAGTCAAACCTTGCCCGCCAAATCAGAGCCGCTGCCCATTGAACTTAACAGTTATGGAGGAAAGAGCCGGACCATCAACCCTTCCGTCGGGTTAAATCGCCCTTCAGAAAGCTCAGCAAAGAGTTTCAAAGCTCCGGTGCCAACCCCGGCCCCAAGACCTCCTCGTCACTCCTACCATGGCGCCATTACTCCCCCGAAAGCAGCACAACGAGCCTTGTCCCCTGATCATAAGCGGAAGTCTGCCTCCATGTTTCGTCCCCAGGGCATCACCGTGCAGTTTTCTGGACGAGGGGCGACGAACGAATCACGCAGGGAGGCGCTGAAGAAACTGGGGCTGCTGAAAGACTCTTGAAAAACTTTGTCGAACCTGAATCTCTGGTGCGTACCTGCTGGTGTGGGTGGTATGCTGGAAGTTTCTCCATGTGTAGCTGAGCTCGAGGCGTGGTTGGAGAGAGGCATACTTTTACAGAGGAATGAGGCCGGATCCTGTGATAGACCTGCACAGCCAGTTCTCAATTCCTCCATAAAGAAAAACTGACAAACAAGTATGGCACTGTGCAGCTGCTGCACACTCAACACTGTTTTGACGACAAAAGTCTTAACAGATTTTGCCTCTGACCCAAGACATCATATACCTCTTTTGGGACAATCTGATGCTGTAAAGAGAAACATCACAAAAGAGGCTGATTGTGAACAGCTAGATTTATTTTAAAACTGGGCCCCACTTCTGAAAAACATCTTATTGTCAACAGACCCAACGAAAAGACCTGAAACCGACAACGTGTTAGTGTGAGGCACTCAGCTCCAAGCCACGAATGAACCAATTATACTGAGGATGTAAATCCTACAAAAGAAAAAAACAACTCAAAAAATTCCTTATTCATTTCCTTAAAGAACTGGGGACTGTAGTTTTTAAAAAAACGTCACTCTGACTGGAGGAAATAGTGCATTTGTTATGGGACTTTGCCTTAAGATGCTCTTTGGAAAGGGGCCCATAATATAAGTTTTATATAATATTTTTATGTCAACAATAAGGCTGGATCCTCAGTTGGGCAAAGCTGGCATTTGTTTTTTTTTTGAGGCTTTATGTTGTTTCAAAATCTAGTTTTAATACCATTATTACATCAGATTTTAATTGAATTTGTTCTTAATGAAAGTCACAGAAACTAACTGACACCCTGCAAACTTGGGGCATGTTTGTAGTCCAGAATAGGATTGTTAATGGGGGGCTCTGGGGAATGTATGGCATATATATATATGATGAGGGAAACCAGGGAGGCACAGAGCTCAGTTTAGCTGCAGGGTTAGCAGGTTATTCAGGCTGCAAATTGTATTTTACGTCGTTAAAAATTAGAAAAGAAAAAAAAAGAAAATTGAAAACAACAAACCCTCACCACATACTCAGAAAACACCTCCTGACTATTGTTTAAGTATATCTTTTGTTTTACGGTGTCACCTCCCCTCTCATAAGTGAAATTATTTTTCATACCCAGGCTGTGAAGTGTTTATCACCTCTGTTACATGGGAACCTTCTTCTCTGTTTTCACTGGTTTTTGGGCATTTTTAGTCAGCAGGGAGTGTGGGTCTTTTTTTTTTCTGCTTTCTGGGGCGAGAACAAAGTTGAAAGCACTTTTCTCAAGAGGAATTTTATTACGTCTGACATATTGTGACAGTTATAAAGAGGCTTGTGTTGGCGTCCCGGACTAATGATGGTGCAGGAGTCGAAGTGAAGAAGGAGCGGGGAGGGGAGGGGGGGCGTAAAGCCGAGTTGAGCTGGAGGATATTTTTACTCCGTGGACAAAACCTCCCACGCCAAACCACAGACTGTGGAATGGGTTTGCGGGCAGGACTTTTATTTTTTCTTTACTACGCGGAGGGAGATGTTTAAAACTGCTCTTTAGGGATGGGCGGGCACATGGCATTGTACAAAACACAAGCACTAAAACCACAGAGTCTAGAAATACATCCTGGGTCACTTATGTGTTTTCATTCCTGTCAAGCTGTTGTCGATATCTTTGCCGTTTCTGACATTTGCAAGTGTGTTATTTAACTGTCTCTGTCTGTGTGTGTGTGTGTGTGTGTGTGTGTGTGTGTGTGTGTGTGTGTGTGTGTGTGTGTGTTAAATCCGGACTCCGGCCTCTGTAGTTCGGCTACAGTAACTTTTGAAGTACATTTGGTTTCACACAGGGACGAACTCCTGTGTGAATTTTTTTTTATTTTTGTGAATTTGTTTACAGACTCCGGTTCTCTGTAGTTTCAGCTACAGTCATTTTTGAAGTATCTAATGGTGCATACACACAGTGTGCGACTACAGGTTGTATAACACACCCCACTGTGTCTGCAGAGTGGACAGATCTGCACAGACTGGGATATAAAAAAAAAGAAAGAAAAGAAAAGTGCATCCATGTGTGGGGAAGCGGGACGATCAGTGTCCGTGTGGACGTCGCTGCTATGGGACAACAGCCTGGTCGACTTTCTGACTTTTGAAATGTCCACATTATATATTGTATATACTCTACATAATGTGTGTAATGTTGAATTTTTGTCAGTCATTAAAAACAGAATAATCAAAACTTCTCTCCGCTTGTTTTTCTTTCATTAACTCTGGAACGTGAAGAGTGAACAGGTGCTGTTCAATGATTGGCCACAGCTGGGGAATATTTCACCTGAGTGGAGACTCAGAGGACGTTTGAAGGTGATGAGGCACTTAAAAGGGGCAGTAAAGAACATCTGGACCTGTATCTATCACTGCTGCCAGTGAAATCTTGGACTTGAGTGAAAGATAAAAGTTAAAAACTTAGATTTTTACTGCAACTCACAAACTTCAGAAAAATAAAAACTGTTTATCAAACTTCTGTTGACTTAAAAATGTCGATAACACGGTTGATAATGATAATAATAATAATAATAATTACACATTTGCTGAAGCAGTGTAATTAACAGTAGAGTATCTTCAGTATTTGAAGCACAACTCTTCTAACATTAATTTGATTTACAATCACTGTCTGAGCATCTTCATCGTCTGCACTCGTCAGTGTGAAACTAAAGTCTCATTATCAAGCTGTTTTCTTTTTTACCTCCAATGTGACTTCAAATTTTAAAGTAAAGGGAAATTTGGGGAAATAGAATCGTTGGGGTCGTTTTTTCTTTCTTTTTATCGTAACATGTTTTTAATGAAGTTTGTTTTTTCTTTTTACCTTCCCCCGTGTTTCACATTGGACTCGTTGTGTGTTGAACATCAGCAGCACAGAGGCAAACTGTCTGCACTGTAGACTGTTACGTAACACTTCAACACAGAGGGTTCTTTACTGAGGAGAGCTGCTGCGCTCAGGGAGTGTGTGTGTGTGTGTGTGTGTGTGTGTGTTTCCTAGAGCAGGAGGGCATCTGGATCATCTGTGGGTGTGTCTCAGGGTGACTGTCGTGTCTCTTATAATGAGTGAACATATATCTCTGGTCCGTCTTTAACGGGGAGACGTGTCAAAGTCTGGTCAGACCACATTCTCTATTCTGGTTTACATCGCAAATGTTCCTGACTCGTGTTTCATAAAATAAACTGTCTCACCTGTGGGACACGTCGGTTCTTGGTAGTCCTACTTCTGGTCTGCGCTGGACTCGGTCTTCACACACACCTCAACACTTTCTACATTGTTTTAAAAGCTTTAGAGTCTCTTGGTTCTGTCTGTGTAAAGCTTTTCAGGATCCTCACATCACTGCAGCTGTCGACACAGGAAAAAGTAAATTAAAGTGTTTACCACACAAAGAATCTTACTACACACTCGTTACTCCCTTTTCATGTCAAACAAACAAACATTTCCACCATGTTTGTGTCTCTCCGACGTTGGTTCTCTCTCTTCTCCTCATTCTGACATTTTGGTTGTAAAATTTAAAGAGTTCTTTCAGAGGAGACTTTACTTTTGGGCTTGTGCATAAAAATGTAGGTTAGAAAAATTAACAAAGGTCTGTTGTTTTAGTTTATATTTTTCCTCACTTGTTTTGAAAATTGTGTTTTATTAAATTTGCTTCATATTTTTCTGTGTGAAGTAATCTGAGCTTTTTTTTTTTCTTTTTTTTTTTACAATTTTTTGATATTTTTTAGATCAAAAAACAAATTGATTAATTGAGAAAATCATTAGCAGATTAATAAATAATGAAAATAATTGCTAGCTGTAGCCCTGAAAGTAACTTTACTTCATAGTAACAATCATTTCATCATAGAAGATGATTATTATTATTGTCATCTGACAGTTATTGTCTTTGATAACTGATTGTTCGGTGGATAAAATGTTAGAAAACAGTGAAATATGTAAATCCTTATTTCCTGAAGCTCAAGTAGATATATTCAAATTAATTTTTTTCTGACAAAAAGTGAAAAAACAAAACAATTTTGAGTTTATTATTATAGAAAACTGGAATTTTAGTTAATATTCACATTTGATAATAACAATCATTATCAGTTATCAAAATTAATTTTTCTTTCTCTTCAGTGCTCATTGGTTTCGTAACGGGGGGTCAAAAAGAAACAACTAATTTGACCCCTCTGGGCCCCCGTACGATGTTAATGATGTTTAGCAGTGTCCTACATATGCAGCGTTCAGAGGCGGGAGCAGGAACTGAGGAAATACTTATGTTTGCTGCCTTGTAATTAGACCTTGACAAACAGGCCGCACCCTCTCAAACACGCACACGCCATCGACACACGACTGACCTGATTCACAGACATCGTCTTCATATATTTTATTGTGATAATTTCTGTCCGCCATGAGCCGAAAACACAAAAGCTGGAAGCTGCTACTGTTTTCTTTTGCTTGCAGGAAAAACAACGATAGTTTTTTTTTTTTTAATCTAGACACAGACAAACTAGATTAGAGCCACTGTCGGACGCTTTTACTACAGAAGACACAGAGCTGGTGCAGAAAAAGGCCCATGCAGCAGAATACAGAGCACATTTATCCATCTACAGGCTCCACAGATAAAATGAATCTAAAATATAGTCACTGTCGTCACTAAGGAAGACTCTCAGGCACACGGTTATCCATTTGTCCAAAAAAAAAAACACGTTACACTACACAAATCCAAATCAAAGCAAGCTGAATATTGTCAAAACTAACTCTTAGATGCTCCTGATTCTGGAGAAAAAAAAAACAAACAAGAAAAAAAAAAAAAAACATCTAATGAGACAGAAGTTGGAAAAAGTGACGATTATGTACACTCAGGTGTCCATCAGTGTGAGCAGGTCACATGACGCCGTCAGGTTTCCAGATCTTCAAGGAGTGTGAACGAGGCCGAGATGGGAAAGCGTCTGATGGAGTCAGACTCTGGTTCTGGTTGATTCAGATTCAGAGTTTTTTTTTTTGTTTTTTTTGTTTTAAAGTAGTAAACAGTTTTTTTTTTTTCGCTCATGTTTCCCTGCTCCATTTGTAGCTAAGTGATGAGAAGACCGACACCACTATCATGTCTGCAGGTAAATGTGAAGCTAAGACCAGCAGCCAGTTAGCTTAGCTTAGCTTAGCACAAAGACTGGAAACAGAAACTTTTCCAGAACAAATGTTGTTTTAGTTTCAGCACCTCGAGCTCCGACTTTTATCTCTGCAGTCTGGTGTTTTATACCCCAAACAATTCATCGATTAACTGAGGAAATAAACTGCAGATTAATTGATAATTAAAATAATCGCAACCCTCCCAAAAAAAAAAGACAAATGATTAATCTATTATCTGAGTATTTATCTGTCAATCGATTCAGCTCTGATTAACATCTAAACTTAACTAACTGCCTCAGATCAGTTTATTTTCTCTCTAATTAGTGACAAATTAAACAGTAGAAACAGATAATAACAGACCAATTAAATATAGTGTTACCACATCGTTAAGTGCTGGTGAGGTGTTTATGACAGTAGAACATTTACAGTTTACAAGTGTCATAAAGGCAGTGACAGGCGCAATGAGGTGCAATGATTAGTTGATTAATCAATTAGTTGACTGACAGAAAATTAATTACTTTTCCTAGATAGAAGTTTATAATTTGGGACTGATTATAGATAAAATAGACAATCACATAATCTGCTGCTGTTTTGATAACTGATTAATCTTTTTAGCAATTTTTCAAGCAAAAACTCCCACAATGCACTGCTTCCAGCTTCTCAAATGTGAAAATTTGCTTTCTTTGCTTTATTTGTCAGTAAAATATTATTATTTTATATTATTATAATATTTTGGGTTTTTTTGACAGTTGGTTGAATCAAATAAGAAGTTTTAATACATTTTAAAACATCTGCTTAAGATGTGGGGACATTATAACGGCCATTTTTCAGTGTTTTCTGACGATTCATTAAGAAAATAACCTGCAGATTGATCGATATTGACAATAATAAGTGGTGATGCACCACTCTGAATCTAGAACAAGAGGACCAAACCATCAGTCACTTTTCCACCTTTTCAACCTCATAATTTGTCCGTGTATAAAACATCATCGTCTTCCTCTGCGTCACTGGGCGAACAGTCTGTGAACACACGACCAGTGTTAAATCCTCGCACTCCCGTCCTTCGTCTCCGTCACAGCGCTGCTTCAGACCGAGCAGACGTGTTCCCGAGTCCAAAATAAAAAAAAAACAAAAAACTAATGAGAAAAAAAAAAAATCTGTATCTTTTGCTAGTCTTGTGTAAATTTTTTTACCCACTCGCAGGTTTTTAACTCCTAAATATGAGTCGCTTTTTCCTCCAGCTGGTGCGACGGCGGGAGGTGATCCGTTCATCCCCCCCCGCCCTTCCTGTCCGTTTCGCCATCAGTCGGCCGGTCAGGTGTTCAGTCATCTTTGTAGTTGGTCCAGACAGTTGTGTGTGTGTTTTTTTTGTCATCTCAGGCAACAGACAAAAAAGAAAAGAGAGCCATCTGTCTGACCTTTGACCTCTGAACCCCCCCCCTCCCCTCCAGGCTCCCGGTTGTTGTCTCTCCTCCTCAGGCTTCGGGCCCCTCAGCGGGGTAAGAGTGTGTTTTCAGGTCAGGGGGGGGTGTGTGTGTGGTCTGGTCCCGGCATCATCAGTGGGTGTCTGGAGGACTCGTTCCCCGTTGTGGACCGGTTTCCTCTCCGATCTTCTCTTTCTCTCTCTCTCTCGCTCTCTCTCTCTCTCTCGCTTGTTCATTTGCTCTCTTGCTCGCTCGTTCGCTCAGCCCGGGCCCAGACTCCGATCAGCGTCTCCTGGAGGACAGAGCAGGACATTTACTGTAGAGGTGCTGAGCAACAGGAACACATTTAGAGTTTCATTAAATCAAACACTGTTTTTAGTCATGAGTCACTTTATTTTAGTCACTAATTTTATTGTATCTTTATTGTAAATTGTATTTTATTCTATATTATCTGTTATTTTGTTATTCATTTCTTATATATATGTGTGTATTTTTTGTTTGTTAATGTTATTATAGCTTTTTAAATACATTTATTGTATTTCATTGTTGGCTTTGTCCTTTTTTGTTATTCAGTCATCTGTAAAGCACTTGTATGAAAACTGCTGCACAAATAAAGTTTGATTGATTGATTATATTGGTTTTCACTGCTGGTGGTGGAGTTCGGTATTCCCTGCATTAATCCATCATTTAATCTGTTTCCTGTTCACTCTCCGACAGTAGCTGAACAGTATTTGAACACAGCTGTCTTTTTACGAGATTTTTTTTTTGTCAGTGAATGAGTTTTACATCCGCCAGAAAGGGTCAGTGAACACATCACCGACATGTCATCACCTTTTAAGTTGATATGGTGAATTTATAATCAGACAATCTCTGTAGGTTCGTTGTGACTTCATACATTGTTATAAAAATATTGATTGCAGCTGCTTTAAGGATTATAGCTTTAACGTTTCTCCATTATCGGAGTGACGAAGATCAATTAAAAATCTGCCTATGCATAAAATAACTACATATGTATAATCCAGTAAATTCAATCCCTGACAAATTTCTTTTCCTGCCTCTGCTCTGCTTTTATTATCTTTTTATATTTTACTGTATTAAAAAAAAAACAAAAAGATAAAAATCTTTTTCCCTCCAAAAACGTTCACCGTTATAAAAACATATGGAATATTAGTATCAAACGACAGCACCAAAGCAAAAGCGAGATTTTTGTCTTTCGATAAATTTCTGCCTCCGACCGACACAATCTGCCACTTTAACACATTAAAGCAAAAATCCAACATTGCCATATAACTGCTCAGTGACTTGCAGCATTACCTGCAGCGGTCTGACGGTTTATACTGTCTCTGGATATCAAACTGACAAGAACTGA